TCTCCAGATCACTCGTCAGATCGATTCGTTCGTCACAGTCTGATCACAAAGAAGCAACAATACGCAAAACAGCCTTGTATGACGAATATTATTTTAAGCAATCAAAGAAAGGAGCAATAACCCTAAGACAAAAAGAAGAAACCTTTTCAAGTTTAATTAATAAATTTGACAGATTAGGGCACAATTATTTGTCGCCAAAAGAGATGATCAAACGAAGCAACTCACCAAAACATTGTTATTCTCGGTCACCAAAACCCTACCACCAAGCAAAAATCAACTGCATGTTTGTTAAGTCAAATATTGATTGTAGTGGAAAGACATTTGGAGGTACAGAGATGACCTCAATTTGTTACGATGGTTTCGAAGACAAATTTATGTTTGAGGAGAATTTATTCCGGAAACATGTAGATTCAATAACCGACGTGGAGCTGGGCACCGATCAAGTTCAAATTACCATCAACCATGTACAGAAAACCAATTTACTCTGTGTATCTCTCCATCGAGCAAAGTTAACTTTCCCCAAAGACGGGCGAATTTATACCAAATTATGTATCCTACCTAACAAGCTTCAGAAAAAGAAGGGGAAACTAATCAATATAGCGAATACTAAGAAATGGGAAGAAGATTTTGTATTCACTAAATTATCTATAGGTCAACTAGAAACGTGTTCTATCAAAATCAAAATTTATCAAGAAAGGGGTTTTCTGAAGCGACCGCTTTTAGAATATGAAACGGTGGTTGCTTTCAAAGATGTGGATATTACCAACTTCCGAACTACTATTTTACCTTTAACAAGAATAGGGAGCAGCGGTGTCTCAGTCAGTTAGACGTTTGCAAACTAACCTGAAGATCTAGGGTTCAATTCCGGCATAGGTCGAGATTATACCTTCGGCCATACAACCCGGTCACTGATGCAGGTAAAAGCGTCTAGTCGTTTGAATGGGACAATAAACGGAGGCCCCGTTTGCCTAAGGATGTGCACGTTAAACATCCCTCGACTGTTGTCCTGGCAAAATTGCCCTCATTGTACCCTGCTTGGCGTTGCTCGTCTTCATTAGCCCACATGATGGAGAAAGGTAGGACGTAAAACTACAACAATAACAAAACAACCAGCAGTCACTCGTTGTTTTAAACTGAAATTGTCATTTGTGAACTCGGACTTGCCACCCGTACTAATGCATGGGTACATATAAATGTTTTGTATTTGTTTTTCGTCTTGTTGTTATTGCTACTTGCAATGTTTTGAATAATATCATGGTTATTTTTGTAGATTTTGAAATAAAAATGAATTACCATTATAGCCCAATATACTTATCAAAACTAATCCCCCACGAAAGATAAGTAGATGTATATAGGAACGCGCCACGTTGTCAAAGTGGATGTGTGGGCGTGCATGAATGCATCTCTTGTCATAGTCATTGCTCTTAAAGGGCTAGGCGGGTTTTGATAATATTTTTTTGTGGTCTGGATCGTGAAATACACAATTCTTCATGCCAACACGTAGAGGAAGTATTTTAAATCTCGCAGTCTCCATTTTTACTGTTCTGGAAAATAGCGATTATGAGAACTCAATTTTGAGTTGACCAATTGAACCAATCAGCGTAAACTACACATTTTTATTTATCATTATTATGATTTTGTGAATTTTGCTATAATGATGATAATCCGTAATTAATACCCCTTTCGCACTGCACAACTGAATTATTGAATTCGGTTATAACTGAATAGAAAAATCCGATTCAGTTCGGTTCAATTCGGTTCGCACTGCAATCCTATCTGGATAGCCGCTTTCGCACTGCCGAGTCAAGTTATCTGGATAACTTTTTATTTTTAGTAACACATCATGTCACGTGACAAAACATTAAAAACAAATATGGACGCTGGCAATTATAATCTGAGCAACGACGAAATTCGCTGCATGCTCGCTGTCTGGGGCGATACTAAAATTCAAGATGAATTAGATGGCATGAAGAGGAATAAACATGTTTTTTCAACTATTGCCAACTCGTTAAGATTAATAATGCCACCCACAGTTGACGGGACTGAAATTTCTTGTTTATAAATAAAAAATATGAAAATAAAAACAGAAGCATTTTCTTTTTCCTCTTCCAATATATATTCATTCTTTTGCAGATGTAACAAACGGAGAAGTACACAAACAAAATTAATTTTTATATTTCTGTCTCGGATTTCCTTTCTTAGACGCCAAGAAACCATTCACGAAAAAAAAAACCGGACTCGTATCAATTATAATAGGAAACTTCAAATTTGATGTTTCAAACCTATCCTCGGTTGCCAGGTAAATTTATAGAAACTGTATAAAGGGTTTAGATATAGTTTCACGCGTAATTGGCGCAATTCTCAGCGTTGAAAATAAACCGGTCTATCCCTTTAAGTGTATCAAAAATATAATACATCAAACATCAACATGAATTGGTACTTATGGGTGTTTCACTGTGGATGTTTCATTACATCGCAAAATGTGTGAGAACAATAATCCACCAGTTTCATATCCCACTTTTTAAAATTATTTATTCAATTCAATTGTTTTTTCCTAACCCATCTTTACAAGATATAAAGGCATGTGAGTTATCAACAACGGAAAACATAGTACAGCTGGTCTCAAAACCGCATAATCGCATATAAAAACAAACAAAGAAAGAAGCAACCATTTTTTTAGGTTTACGAAGGTCCTGGGGTACAGGTCTTAAGCGAAACCTCGTGACTATAGAATTATCCATACCCATTTACAACCATGGTTGTTTGGAATTATGGGGAATTGACATAACCGAGATTTGAACCCACGACACTTTATTTCATTTTATTATATTTTTAATCAACGTACATGTATATCATAATCTTGAGAATATTCAGCAAAGTGGCATAGTCGCTAACTGTCTGTTCCAAACATAGTAACTAACTTTTAAAGAATCTTCGGATTATGGCAGTCCTGTGCTATTGACAGTTTTTAACTTAGCGTAATTCTTTGCCATAAATAAACTTGATAAAGCAATTAATTACAACTGTAAAATATTTACTAATGACAGACATCAAATTATTTAAGATTTTAAAACTACATGTCCAAATGTTTCCTTTCTTTTTCAGAATGAATTAGTAAACAAGCCCTTGTTTAACTATATTCATACTAGCGACCACCCTCATCTCCAGAGTATTTTATCATCACTCGAAGTACAACACAACAGCAGCCTTAACGTTCCAGAAGAAAATGGTCAGTATTTTACCCTATCTCCTTTTTTCCGTGATGCCACCGAAAGACAATCAATCGAGGCGCTATGTGCTACAGGCTATGCACGAGAAAGATCAATCGAAATCGAAGATTAGGCTTATGGCACTGTCCTGTCAAAATGTCCCTCATTGCACATTGCATGGCCTAGATGTCTTTTTATGTACACCTTCTAGCTTTGGTACAGTCTTCTTTTTATTTTAAATAATATTTGATTTTTCTTTTTGATTTCAGTATTTAAACTGTCTTTCAAATGTTTATTACGAAGAGGTTCTATAGAACCTGGTATAACAAATGTCTATGAAAATGTATCATTTAATGGTACTTTTCATCAGCTTACCACAGAAGGTAAGACATTGGTACAAATGCAATAGCTACACAGCAAAACATACGTCTGGGGACCGATACAGGACGTGGTGACATGTTCCTTCAGCGACACTAATCTTGCCAGAAGTAAACAATAGTAACGTTATCGGCAATGATTACTCCACAATCCCCAAGGTCCTTCTTCAACCAAACGTTCAAGTACAGGTCCGAAAACTACATTAAAAGAAGTAAAAAGATGAAATGCATGCACACCTGCTCCCATAACCACCACAAATGGTATTATCACTGTCGTTGCATTCATGTTGGTAAAGCGTATTTTACCAATATTTTTCACAAGAATCGAAATAACGAAACGTCGCAAAGCACAGAAAATAGCGAATTGTTTATTCAAATTTCAATAAAACAATAGAAAATTATCAGAAAACAACCACATTTGGCACAAAGGATTGTTTGAGTGTCTTTCAAGTTATTGCTATGACATATCAAGGTTCACGTGATCTTTACAGATGCAGGCTAAAAGTCAGTATCTGGTGTGTCCTTCTGTGTGTTTATAACGGCCCGACATCTTCTGTACATGGAGTGGCACAAACGGTTTACAAACGCCATTGGAATCTGCTCGAAGCCTAGGAAAGATGCATTTCTTGGAAGCGGTTGGATCAGTTTTAGTCGCGTAAAGGGCGACTGTGACTCCATGGCCTCTGCCTGGGCCGATATTCTGGAAGACAAAAGGTCCAAGTTTCTGATTGATGCAGATTGCACCCCATACCATAATGCATTGGCAATGACATGATCCGGCATTTAATCGCCCGGTGGCTTGTTCACCTTGTTGGGAGGTCGCTGTCTTTACAGCAACTGAATTCTCCGTAGGCGTCGGTTCGTTTTTATACAGAACTCTGGCACGTGTTGCACGTGCATTTCGATTTTCCTCTGCATCACTTACAACTTTTTCTCATGGACAACTGACAGTTCCCAAGGTTCACAACTCTTAAATCGAATGCAACCGATATTATCAGTTGAATGTCATAAACTGGTCTTTTTAAAGTCTAAAAATCATATTTACAAGAAAAATAACAAGTTTGATCGTGCACGACTTTGTCCAAATAATCTAAAAATGCGGCGTTTCTTTATCTGTTCTATATATGTATTCGTAATGAGTATGCCAGAATTCCTCACACATATTAAAGAAAACATAACATTTGGAAGGTTGAATACTAGGTGAACCAGAATAGTAGATCCATAGCAAGTTAAAACAATAGGAAAGGAAACATTAAGATTTGCATTTAAATCAGACAATCCTGTTTTGAAGCTGATATTTAAATGCGTTTTCCAAATTTTTATCAACAAGAGTGTTTAAGACAGTAAATATTTTATTTCAGGAGAAGAAAAATCACAAACTAAAATATCTCAAAACGTGAATTATTGTTACTGTACCGTCCGCCTTGAGTCTACCCAAATACTACGAGAAATGTCCATTACAGAAGAATCAGTGTGTGAATTTACCTCCAGATTATCAATGGAATGGAAATATTTATATTTAGATCACCGGTAAGTTAGATTGATCAAGAAGTGATCAAATTATTATACTCTATTCTTATCTATTAAGACACAGATCGACTGGATAATCAAGGCATCTCATCTGATCTACATTCTACACAAGCGAAACGCTCATATTGAAAAAAAAATCAACAGTTAGCAACTGCAATTAACTGAAGTATCGCAGATTTTCAATAGAAAGAACATCACGATCAAATGACGTCAAATGGCAGCGGAGATCGACTATATTTAGCTATTGATATGATCTTTGCATATGCTTTCAAATTTCCAGGCGTCATTAAAATTCGATTTGCTCTTATATTCAACTTGAGCCCACCTTTATCTTCCCTCAAAATGCCTTCTTTCAAGTATTTTTAATTCATCACTGAAATTGTGAATTTATCCTTCACACTAATTATTTAAATTTCGTAACAATTTGGAATCAAATTTGATTTTAAAAGCCAAATACGATTGGGGATTGCTTAATTACTTTGTTTCATTAAGATTCGAATCCAAATATAAAAGGTTTGTTATCTAGAAGAAAATTATTTGAACTTGGACTTAAACTAATTCAAGGAAGTTAAAATAATCACGAAACATCTTTGGAATAAATACGATTTTATTTATTTAAATTTGAGAGGTCGCTTTACATTTGCAACGTTTTACAGTTTCAAATTTAAAGCGAATGCTGAAAATGTCATTTGTCTACAGGATAGATTAATTTTTTTTTTCAAATTGGCATGAACACCATAAATCACGAGAAGAGGATTGACTTAGCACCATGTAAAGGTATAAAACATTAAGATGTGTTTGCAGGTAGGTAATAACAAAAACAGCGTACAGGGAGAGAATAAGTCGACACACGACTTTCAAAGACAAAAAGCGCTGTGTGAAACCAATTTGACTCCATATTTATAAGTTTAGCTAGTGAGGAATTTCATTCCACGGATTGTTTTTCGACAATTTACGATTCGAGCAAAATGGTTAAGTTTATAAATTTTTAGCTGGCGGATAACAACTTTGAACCATTATGGAGATAATGAGAAGAGATGATACAGAAATTCACTTCAAAATAAATGATACTTAGTTACTGCTAAGGGGCCACAGGTCGACTGTGGATTCAAATCCATTATCTCATAAACCCTTGCATATCGAGAAATTTAAAAATTACTGGCAACTGACTCGGTACAAAATATAAAACTATTACTAAAGAAAGCTTTATTGCAAATATTTGTTCTTAGGTAAGTAAATATTACTTGAAAGGAGGTATGATTGTAAACGCAAGACTTCAAAAGTTTCATTTTATTTACCACTTGAACGTGTTTATTAAGATCTTATTTTATGTTCTATTCATTTTTTTTATTATCATGTTTCTATGGACCCAAGACAAGACAAATAATTTCTGCAGTAACAAAAAGAAATGTATGCAGAAATTAGAAAAGTCCTATCCAATATAAAATAGAATTACCAAATTTTCAACTGATAATCCCCTAAACAGTTTTTACATTAAGTCTTTTATTGGTAAAAATTCGAATCAATTCGAAATCAATAACTCAATAGTATTCGAGTCACCTAAATGGTGAGCGAAATGCAATTGCAAAGGGAAAGTTACCATACTATGGTATTCCCTTTTCTGTGATATAAACTTACGGATGCAAAAGGAACACAGCGTTGGCAAAAATGTACATCCACATTGCACTGCATAAAAATCTGTTTCGAGTAACTTTATTTGTGCACATCCTTGCAGGATTCCATATATAAACAAACACAGTTAAATCCTTATTTAAACTTGCAGAAGTGTAGGTTAAGAACATGGCCTGCATAAAAAACTTAGGTCTCAGACTGTAGGCCTTCTCAGCCTTTAAAATGTTGATAATGTAAACTTAAGCTCTATTTCAAACGTAGCATATACCACCATAACATAATAAATATAAATATTCACCTACATCAATAAAGATCAATGTTATTGCGAACAACAACAATACAGAACACAAAGGGAAATTTATGGTTAAAACAGATGACAAGTCATTGGTTAAAAGTTTCCACTGGATTGTATTACATTCTGGTAAAATCTTAAAAGCGTTAATAGATAGATTGTGCTTTCATACAAGACGTATATTCAATAGTATTGCTTTTGATTGGAAGAATCAGAGAATGGAGGAATTTTCCATGATTTTTAATGAAGTGTTTCGTTGTTTGGAAACCTGTTTTTTTCAGTTATTTGATGAAGAAGATGCCAATTCGTAAATGACTGATTTGATCTTATTTCAATTTTGTAATAGTTTGTATGTCAGCGCTAATACGCCTCATCCAAAATAATTGAAAGATTCCATGTTTTACTTCCAGAGCACCACCGATTATTGGTTATCTTCCGTTTGAAGTTCTAGGAACCTCTGGTTACGACTATTACCATTCAGATGATTTAATCAAAGTTGCCGAATGCCATGAACAATGTATGTGTGCTATTTTATGCTGTCTTGTTTTAAATCGATATTTCATCTAGTGTTACATCCACATATTACAACGTTGTTCGTATTATTGACATCATATTTAAATATGCCCTGCGCAGCGACCTTGTTCTCCCATCGCTTCATACCTTGGAACTGTGAGGACATATGCAGAGCGAAGATATTGATAGTGATTGATTCCTGTTGCTCAATATCATATTTCTTTATATACGGGCGGGATAGCCTTTTTACCGAGGGTTCTACTTCTTAATGATTCAGAATGTCGTGTTATCGTAAAGTTGACTTATCTTACTTTAAAAAGAGAATATAAAGACAACTATTTGACTAAAAAACACTTGGAAAAGAGTAAGAATTTAAGAAATATAGATGATGAAACACTTAAATTAAGATTTTGGAAAATCGGTTCTAGGCCTTTCAACAATGTTACTGAGGTCTGGTCAGAAACCATTACATATTTCTACCGTGATTTTTTCATCCGGCAAACATCGTATTAACGTCCAAGGTAATGAATATCAATGATGTCAATCAATACCTTTTATGTATTGATAAGGGTTTAAACGACGAATTGGGCCAGGGTTCGTGATATAATACAAAATAATGATAGCGTTATTTCATATTTTTATCCACTCGAACGTCTTGTCAAATTGGTGTTTCAGCAAAGTCCCAGTTTGTTATCGAAATGTCCATTCTTGCAAAACCGGAAGTGCCACAGTTCAAAATGTGCAAAAAGTCGAAAATCGGCTTTAGAAGGCGTATTTTTGCATCGATTTTCTTCGGGTTTTCATTTTTAAAATCTGGCTGTAATTTATAATCATATAGCACTTGAAAAATTACGAAATTCGAAAATTTGTCGCAAACTTTTTTCGATAGATTTTTTTTGCAACTTTTTTGTTTTTGCATCGATTGATCTGAAATTTAAAATGCAAAGAGACATCAATAAAGTCAATGATATGATACAGTGAGAGTTTTGACGTCACTTCTGGTTTTGAAGGTGGAATCAATTGAAAGTACAATCTACTTCCGGTCGAATAACTTCCGGTGTAAATGAAATAGGTCAACGGAATTTATGTAGGTCGTAAGTAACTGCTAATACAAAAAAACGAAGAATATAAAATCCAGACTGTAAGTGATACTTTGGCCGCCATCTTGATTTTCTAATTTTCTTAAAATCGAAATAAGTCCTTAGGGATAAACTAAATCTGCATAAATTTGGTGGCGATGTAATCTGCTGTCTAATGTTCACAAAACGATGCGAGCCGATTTTTGAATTTTGCTTTTGCATTTTGGCAACTTCCGGTTGAATTTTTTCAAAGTTTGAAAGCTTATTTCTTGTGACCTTGACCCTTGATGACTTTGACCTTTATAAGGTCAAAGATCATTGACCTTGGCTATCATTTGATATTTTGACCTCCGACATGTACTTCCGGTTTTATAGCTATCCGCAAAAATCCAAATTCGCAACTTTGGACTGCTCTAGCACGTCACCTAATTAACCTAGAGAGTAAATTTTTTCGGTTTCCTAATGTGCTTCTCGTGTACTTTACATAGATATATAACAATCGTTTTTTTAAAGCAAAATTGAAATTCTTTACAATATTTGCGATTTTTTGAGCTTGGTGTATGTATATCTTATGACCTATTTTATGTAGAACCTTGATATTTGGAATATAACTAGACACTTTGAATATAAATTCACCTATGACAAAAAAACTTATGTGGGCGTGGCACATCCGGGTTGAATTACTAATTGTTTACATTTAGAGGCAGGGGCATAACTTTCATAGGATGCGGTTGTTCAAAAAGGGCCTTTGCAAACAATTACCTCATCCTTTTGGCCAGTTTGTGTTAACAGCTCAGTTGTTTCAGCTTTATAGTTCCAAAATAGGAACGCGTTTTTTACATTTGGATATTTTCATTTTTCGATTTTGACCTTTGTTGACTTTTGTTGACCTATATCTTTTTACCTGTATGATGTAGAAGCTTGACATTTAGAACACGACATAACATTTCGAATATCAATTAACCTATGCAAAAAAAAATTGAAGTGGGCGTGGCACATCCGGGTTAAATTACTCATTATTGACATTTTTGGCAAGGGGCATAACTCGCAAAGTATACATTTGTTCAAAATGGAACTTTGCATACTATTACTTCATGTTTTGAGCCACTGTTTCTTCGAAATTCGGTTGTTTCCGCATCGTAGTTCAAAAAAAGGAACAGGTTTTGGAAATTCAAAACTTTCAATTTTTGACCTTGACCTTTGATGACGTTGACCTTCATAGAGTCAAAGGTCATTGACCTTGGCTATAATTTGCTACTGTGACCTTTGACCTCCGACATGTACTTCCGGTTTAATAGCTATCCGTAAAAAGACAAATTCGCAACTTTGGGCTGCTCTAGCACGTGACCTAATTAACCTGGGGGTGATTTTTTCCGGTTTCCTAATGTGCTTCTTATGCACTTTACATGGATATAGAACAATTGTTGTTTTAAAGCAAAATTGAAATTCGTGATTTTTTCAAATTTGAGTTTTGATTTACCATATTTGTGTCTTTTTGAGCTTGGTGTATGTATATCTTATGATCTATTTGATGTAGAACCTTGATATTTGGAATACAACTAGACACTTTGAATATGAATTCACCTATGACAAAAAAATTTGGACGGGCGTGGCACATCCGGGTTGAATTACTAATTGTTTTCATTTTGGGGCTGGGGCATAACTCGCATAGGATACGTTTGTTAAAAAGGGACTTTGCACACAATTACCTCATCCTTTTGGCCAGTTTGTGTTAACAGCTCAGTTGTTTCAGCTTTATAGTTCCAAAAAAGGAACGGGTTTTAACATTTGGATATTTTCATTTTTCGATTTTGACCTTTGTTGACATTTGTTGACCTATATCTTTTGACCTGAAGAAGTAGATGTAGAAGCTTGAAATTTACAACACAACATAACATTTTGAATATCAATTACCCTATGCAGAAAAATTAAGACGGGCGTGGCACATCTGGGTTATATTACTCATTATTGACATTTTTGGCCAGGAGGCCAGATTCAAAATGTTCAATTGTTGACCTTGACCTTTGTTGACCTTGACCTTTGTAGGATCAAACGTCATTGGCATTGGCTATCTATTTATAACTTTATATTTGCTGTCCTATGTCAACTTCCGGTTTTATAGTCGTGTGCAATTTGAAATTTTGATGACGTATATCTCTTGATCTTGACCTTTTTAGACCTTCTCCTTTACAAGATCAAAGGTCATTGACCTGCTAATACTTTCATTTGTGAGGTCTGACGTCTACTTCCGGTATTAGAATCTTCTAAAAAATGAAAATTTCTCAACTTTAGACTGTTCTTGCACATGATCTAATTATCGTGGAAGGTTGATTTTTTCGGGGTCTTTTGCAATTTGCTACATTTGCAAAGTCCCAATCTGTGCCACGAGTGGCTCTAGTTATTTAAATGTCTTCCAGTGTTGACTGCGGGCGAAGGATCATCATGTTGTTATAGATTTCTAACAAAAGGCAGACAATGGATTTGGATGAAAAGTAATTATTATATAACGTATAACCAATGGAATTCCAAACCCGAGTTTATTGTTTGCAGTAACAAAATAATAAGGTACGGAAAATCAGTACGGAAATAAAGTAACATGTATTATTTCATTTCAAACTATGTTACTTTTTTTTATTGATCTTTTTAAGTTTTTGTTCCGACAGCGTGTACAAAAGTTCATTACGAAATCTAAATTTGAGCTCGTAAGTATGACATTGGATAAATCTCAATGATCATGATCAAAGCGCCAAAATCGAATTTTTATCCAAATTTTACTAGACAGTAAACCGTGTGCAATCCTTGAACAATGTATTGGCAGAATGGATAAAATAATAATTAATTGTCTATTAGGTCATAAGAATAAATCAATAATTTGAAACAAAACTAAATTATTGAATTTTTAGTTATGATTATGTGAAAAGTGAAAATCCTTGTGAAGATGATAATAAAGAAGAGCGGGTGACCAAAGAATCTGGTGCAAACACACTCTATCGTGTGTACGAGAAATTAGGTCAACGGTATCAGCCCTCAAGTAAGTATTTATATGATGTACAACTTAATGATTTTTGAACACCGCTAGTCAGCATTTCTTGTTCATCAAAAAATATTTCTCACTGTGTTCCCCACTGCTTTTCTAGTGAGAACTCGAAAGGTTACACTTTGTTTTGAACTTCGTAGTACTCCTAGAATTTTTCATTAAGTTAAACAAAAATGAATCATTACAATTAGCTTATTAGACCACAATTTTCATAGTTGTTGGACCTAAATGAATGATCCAGTAAGACCAAACCGACCACTTTCTGAAGTTTTGTGAAGAAAAATTGCCTGATTGCTAACTGCAATCTCCCATTTATTAAATGTTATCTTTCAGGTTCAAAGGCTCCGAGCGAACCAGAAAAATCCCAACAACCTCATTCAACTAATAATGATTCGCCACCGCTTCATAAAGTTGTTTCCAGTCAAATCGACAACCTATTACAGCATTATCTTAAACAGCAACAATCAATTGATAACAAGAGACTCCAAACACCAAAATCTGTTGCAGAAATTACTAGACAGAACGAAAGTGTTATCACCTCGTCAGCAACACCAACACCAAGAGTATCTACAGGCAACATGACTGCTAGGCCTACCGGCCCGATAGTAAACTATGGCCAAACTGTTGACGTGGTAAGTAGGAAACTAAAAAAAATCAAAAAAATGTTGTATTCTTATTTTATGATACAAGAGCATACTTTTTCTGTGACTGCAGGATCGTTGTCAATTATCACATAACCTAGAATATAAATTAAGTAGCCGATCCATGACCTGGTGCCTTAAGTATATTAAGAGAGCTTTCCGGGTAAGGTGATATACGCCCACTGGCAGCTTTGATTTGAAATAAAAATAAAAATTTGGCAGTACGGTAACAATCACCAGTATATAATATTCAGCCATACACTTCTTTCAAACCTTTTTGAATGTTAATTAAGGAATGACTTGAACATTTTTTCAGTTTATCGGTGTATAAACAGAACAAACTGTGTAAATCCGCATAGTACACAGGTTTTTTCTGTTTATACACCGATAAACTGAAAAAATGTTCAGGTCATTCCTTATAATTAAAACAACTGGAATACGCGTTTAAGTATTTATCTAAAACGGAAAAATTTAAGGCACTAAATTGGCGCATAAATACGTAAGATTTTATAACGCTAATGAACTGATACTAAAAAAAAGACCTATCATCAATAAGTCGGTCATCCTTTTATTACTGTCCATCGCATAAAAGTTGACGGAGCGGTCACATTAAAAGTTCAATTATTGAAAGACCAGTTCAAAATAGGTCCAGAAATCGTGATTTTGTTGATATTTGTAGTGTGCACATTCGAGGAAATTTGGAAAATACTGTTATCGTTCAGTGGAGTGTCGATTTCGACTATGCGAACGTTCGAAGGAACGACATCGTGTAATGGCTACGTCAATCAAACTCAATGAATAAGTAGTCCGATAAGGGGCGGAGCTTATGTATCGAATAAACCGAACGCACGTGACCACTGTTAACCGATCACATTGCGTGGTACCGTGTAAACGGAATCGTGATTTAATTATTGAATAATATTAACATATTATATTAAAAATCTAGCAACAATTTTTTGCATAGAAATAACTCATATAAAATATTTTTCGGATTTTGAATAAGGTGATGATAAACAATTTCACCAAGTTTAGGCAAAATTGAGCAAGAATTGTGCCTTCTAGAGTGTTCCCAACTTCCCAATCTCAAAACAATTTGTCATCAGAGTGTACAAACCTCAATAGAGTCTTATAATTTCAAACTGATAAAAATTCTGGGTCCCGTATCTCAAACTTCGTTAAATTACTTTACAGACCAGATCAGAACCGGCAATGTCGCAGATTCAGAAAAGTTTACAAGAACAACTCTTGATGAAGTCTGATATGTTACAGAAAGCCATTCAAAAACAGCAAGATGAACTTCATGCTATAACTCAACAGCTTGCTATGTCTAAGAGGAGGCCAGTGAATGTCTGCCAGTTGAGAGGTATGTTTTTTCCTTCATTTTTTGCCCTCTAGATAATACCCGTGTTAAGCTGCCCTTGATGACTGATTTTTTAATGAGCATTGGAAGAATGTCCGGATAGGAGTTTTCCTAATTTCGGATTCTCAAAATACTAAAACAGAAATGCTGCGGATATTTAAAAACATTAATGCACAAAGGAATTGCAAGGCCGCACATTTTATCTGTCTATTATGATAAATTGAGGCTTTGCTCATGTTTAGTTAATGAATTCGTTTAGAATTGTGTTATTATAAACGTTTTGTTCTTACAATCTATTGGACTTGGAATTTGCAGGTTCAGGGGGTGAAAATGTTACGAACTCGATGATGCATAACTTACAGACCACGGGCCAGCCTTCTCAATGCTCTTCGGGTGTCATAATGCCAACTCCACGACATACGAATTTTCTGGCAGCTCGACATTCCCAACAGTCTTTGCAGAGTCAACAGCGAAGAGTTATAGTTCCAGGTCAAAATCAGCGTCAGACATTTCAGCAAAGTCCAGTAGTCGTTCCCAATCGTCAACTTTCACCAGAAGGGTATATGTTATACGACCACAACCAGCTGGGATCGGCACATGACATCGCCATGAAACAGCAAAACAGACAAGATATTTTTCAATCAGGTCAACCATCGGCACATTCAATGATGACGTCCCCTCGTCCGGCAGACTCGATTTCGCCAGTCTCGCGAATGACAAATGTCGTTATGTCGGCTTCGCCGAATGCAAATATTCAATCACAAAGACTTTCTGACGCAATAATCAGTCAGCAGTCAAGCTCCCTGATGTCTAATCAAAACTCGGGAACGTTTTCTGTTGGTGGATCCCCAAGTTTAGTCAACAGTCGCAACCATTCGACAATGACTAATCGGCTATCTCCACAAACTCAGGACTACCTTACTCGACAGTCTGACGTGATGATTTCGGGACAAAATTATAATGATTACTTGACTCAGAATCAAGTTGATGGTATGGATGTGTCCCAGCAAAGTGATTTAAGCTCTAATCGAAACAATCTATATGTGATGGTACCTAATCAGATACAGCGTGGTGTTATAGTTCAGGAACAACGATCGACAGACAGAATAGTGAGACCAAATCAATCTGTTATGATGCCAAATTCAAATATGAGTAATGTGAATGTCCAAAATCAGACTCGTGTGATAATGTCAAATCAGACTACTGATACACCATCTGGTCGCAGTGATGCTATGATATCAGGACAATCAGACACAATGCTATCAAGTTCATCAGACTTATTAGATGGCCAATCCGACACTTTGATGAATGATCCAAATCAAAATGATTTACTCTTATCAGGACAATCCCAAAGTGGTGACTTATTAGCGAATTCAAACCATGGTGATGTTCTGATGTCAAGTCATAGTCAATCGGACCTCAATGATTTCTTAATATACCAATTAGATTGACACTCTGGAGTTTAGCCTGTTCCATTTTGTAGTTAATATGGGGCTATTGGTTATTTTATGAATCGATTGTGTCCGTCTTCTGTATTGGAGGTACCTGCGACCTTTTCGGTTGGCTGCAAAGGAAATTGTTAAAATCAAGCTCGACCGTTTTTAACAGGTGTGTCTACATATTTTGATAAGCACCTTCTATAGAAATATGTCAAGAGTATGCGAGTCAGTTTCAACAGCTAAGTCGTGAACCGGTCGAACGAAATCTTAATGGATGCCTTTGCTCTACGTAACTGTTCATTTTTATACGCCCACATGAAATGGGGGCGTATATTGCCGACACCCATGTCCGTCGGTCGGTCCGTCCACAATTGCTCGTAAACACTCTACAAGACACAATTCTTGACAAAACTTGGTGTTTTGTAATCACCCAAGGATGAACCCTATTGAAAATCAAAAGAATCGAAAAAATATTTAGTATGAGTTATTGCCCTTGTTCTTGAAACGCGTTCAATTTTTAGCTTGCAAAAACTCTAGAAGGCATAATTCTTGACGGATTTTGACGAAACTTGGCATGAGTGTTTGTTATCAACCAAGGTTAAACCCTATTGAAAATCAGAAAAATCGAAAAATATTTAGTATGAGTTATTGCCCTTGTTCTTGAAAACGCTTTCGAATTTAGCTCTTAAACACTATAAGGCATGATTCTTGCTGGATTTTGACAAAACTTGATTTTATTATTTAGTCCCGCACTGAAGATTGAATATTTGCCTTCTAAAGTTTTCACGAGCTAAAAATTGAAATCGTTTTCAAGAACAAGGGCAATAACTCTTACTCAATATTATTCATTATCGCCCTAAAGAGTTCAAAAGAAGTGTATTACTGAAGGTTGAATATTTCATACTGGTGATTGTTACTGAACTGCTAAATATTTTTATTCAAAATCAAAGCTGCCAGTGGGCGTATATTACCTTGCCTGGCAAGCTATCTTAAACAATCGGTGTCCATATGGGGTCGCTATTAAAATAAGCATTCATCAAGGAATAATTTTAGCCCTATTTTAGTTTGATCGAAAACTAAATCTATTTTGATCATTTGTCTGTTACATTTTAAGTGCAAACGTACGTAGCGATTCTAGCAAAAGTCACGATTATTTATTTAAAAAATAATGCTTGATTTCCAATGTGTGCATTATTACCTGTTAAATATCGCCTTATAGAAATGAACTGGCTTATTTATGTAATATTTAATGTGCCTAGTAGGCTTCAAGTGTGAATGTAGAAATGAATGATATTTATTATACAATATAAAAGGTGTGTAATGATGGAATATAATGATTACTTAACTGTTTTCGCAAATGGGAATACATGTATCATAGGTATGTCATAGGGCCTGCTCGCTTTACTGACACAGGCTCAACTTTATTTCAGCTGATGTAGCGTTTTAGTCGCCCAGCACCAATAAAAAATGTCAGTTCCGATTATTGATACTTCAGATTCATGAGATTTTTGGGTTCTTGAATAATTTCAGCCGGTGCCTCTCTCCATGTCGAAAATATTATGACCGATGAAAATTTAATGCCATTGACTTACTTTTTCAATTCACCTTAATTCAACTTCTTCAACTAATTCAATTTCTGAAACTGTTTCTACAAAAACTGCCTTCTATAACGCCATGGTTCGTGCAAAACAAAACAGCATTGCGCTAGGTGACTATAAACGGAATGAATGGAAGAATGAAACTTTTTTCAGTCACACACTGAAACGGGCATTTTCATTGCAAAATTGAGAAGCAACTTATTGCATCCATAACCAAGACCTGGTTTACTTCAACCATCTAGTGTAAAATGGATGGATGGACCTACGAAAAAAATTAACTTATACAACGAATGTTATAAAGAAAGTCTGTTATTATAATGAAATTGTTATGTTGTACTATATTGTTCGTTACCGTTATATTATAAAAAAGATGCTATATTTATTCGTAAAATATATTATGTTGACAATAATGGTTTTGTTCTCTGGTCTATTTCTAATGGAAACCTGGACTTTGGTTTCGTGTTTTATCTGCGTTTGACTTCCATCGATGTTCTCATGTTCTGGTTCATACAATATCCGGGATCCCCCAAAAATATCTAAAAAAAATAAGATCAGCTGAGAGTCAATGAGGCCACAGGCTTCAATGTTGGTGTACAGGTGGGATTTTACCATTTTAAGATGCTTTTTTTTACTTAAAATCCTTTCACCCCTTATGTCGCAGCTACACGCCCCTATGCAAGATGGAATCTGGGACTCGCCACGTATTTGGGTCGAAGGATGGAATTACAGATTACAGTTTCATACATTTATTACACACATTACATCTAAGAAATACACCACATGAAAGTCGGATAGTCGCGGATATGTGGATATGTGCTAAATACCAATACGGAGGCTTCCAATGCATTCCGCCATTCCGCCATTACTAATTAGATCTACACCATCATACCATTAGTAAAAAAGGTGTCTAAGGACTAGTGCTTAAGTACCACCGACCAAAATAAATAGCCCAGTTTGTGGAATAGACAACAGAAGTTAACAGCGCACTCCAACTATCTCACATGTGGGTACTGGGCCACTGAAGCCAATTCAAGCTTCATACCAGCAGGTATCCAGATCCAACCAATAGAAAAATGCACTAGCTTATTAAAAAACCAACCACCAAACAAATAATTACACCATGTGATATACAACCTCGTTAGACAGTACAATCAAATGCATTACTTACTAACCGATATACAATTAAACACAAATTGGTTTATAACTAGAACACAAGTTTTTTCTGTGCACATCAACTAAATTTCAAAACTATGATGTAAGTCGATATAATCTCAGAAAAATAAAATAACGAACGTAACATAATTACAACAATTACTAAATTATATAAACCAAATATAGCAAAACCAGAAATAGTTTACCAATATAGATTTTATAACCTATAACCGCATACTACGTATTAATATTACCAGTGATAACTGACATCAATGCCTCGCAAACAGCAGCGGGCATACTATCAAATGAACCATCTAAATGTAAAGAATGAATATATTTAGCCTTTTCTCCCACTCAGAATTGACCTGAGACATAACATATTCACCAGATTTCATCCATTTTGGCTTACGTGTAGTTCGCCTTGGTCGCTCTGATTCACCAGAAATAGGACTCAGTCTTCTCACACTTAACTAAGTATGGCAACTAGACTCGGACTATTACTTACTATTGTAGAACTACACGATCCATCTTCAGCCTTAGATTCATCTACGATATCATCGCTCATAGATCTCTTCTCACCCCCTCTTGGCGAATTAGCCTCCTGGCTAGAATCAGACTGTGTAACCATCTCTTCTAAACGGTAAGGATAATCTATAAATACTTCTTCATCGGAACTTCCACTTTCTACTACAGCTTCAGGAACAATAACTGACTTGATTTTCCTTGGTTTGGGTATTGGTAAAGTAGCTAAAGAAACATCTGAATCAATATAATTAACAGGTAATAAATGGTTGCGATGTAATGTTCGACGCTTACCATCGTCCGAACGAACAACAAAACCGGTATATCAACGTTAGGCTGATCTTCAACAACATACCTTTCGCTTTCCCATCGATCAGCTATTTTATGCTTACCTTCGAAAGCCAACTTCTGGACCAATACGGAATCACCCATTTCCAGTTTGGCACATCGAACCTTTTGATCATAATTCCTCTTCTGTTTCTCTTTACTTTTCTGCGACACAGAAATTGCCGACTCGTAAGATTGCTTTAATCGTTCCTTTAAAGCTTTAGTATAGGCATGTAAAGACATAAACGATTCGTCAGTTTTTAACCCAAATGCAAGGTCAACTGCTAACCTTGGATGACGCCCAAACATTAAATAATACGGCGAAAATCCAGTTGTCTCATGCTTTGTGCAATTATAAGCATGAATTAACGGTGCCACTTGAGATTTCCAATTGCTCTTTTTATCAACTGGAAGCGTTCCCAACATATCTAAAAGTGTGCGATTCATACGCTCACATTGTCCATTACCCATCGGGTGATATGGCGTCGTTCTGGATTTTGCTATTCCAGTTAAACCACACAATTCCTTAATTATACTACTTTCAAAATTTGCACCTTGATCCGAATGTATCCTAGCAGGAAGACCATAATGAACTACAAAATTATTAAAGAATGCATCTGCAGTAGTATGTGCCGTCATGTTTCTCGTTGGTACTGCTACAGCATATTTTGTTAACAGATCAGTTATGACTAAAATATACTGATACGACACATATACTTAAATGAAGATCTCCTAGACAATTTTCCATCAACCTTTGAAAGGTAGCTGGAGAATTAGATAATCCAAAAGGAAGTCTATTATATGCGTAGAAGCCTAAAGGACCAACAGTGAACGCTGTACGTTCCTTGTGTTCCTCTAATAACTCTACTTGATAATAACCAGATTTCATGTCTAACTTACTGTAGAAAGCTTTTCCTGCTAAATAATCTAATACCTCATCAATTCGAGGCAGAGCATATGAATCTTTAATTGTCCTATCATTCAATTGACGAAAATCAGTACACATGCGAAGCTTACCATTTTTCCTCCTACACAAGACAACGTTAGACGTCCACGGACTATGTGAATGACGAATTACTCCACATGCCATCAACTGTTTTAAATGCTCTTTCACTTCGTTGAACATTGCTGGGGGTACTCGTCTAGAACGTTGTTTGAAAGGTCGCTCATCCATGAGTTCAATCCTATGATTAACTCGCGAAGTATGACCTAAATCCAAATCATTTCTTGCAAATATAACACTAAAACTCAATAAAAGTTCATTACCTTTAGCTATTTCATCGGTTGTCAAATCACTAGGGTCAATTTCTACTTTACCAAGGACATCAAACTCTTCTACCTTATCAACAAATTGCTGATCTTCAACGTTAACAAGTTGTAACTCACACATAATAGCTTTAGGTAAAATGACGACAGTTCTGGTAGATACATTAGAAATATGAATAGGGATAATATCAGATTTGTCATAATCAAATAACATAATGGTTGGTGAAATATCTAAAACCGAATCTACAGCACCATTACAAGGATGAGCCATTACTGTAGTTTTTGGACAATACAACTTCTTGTCTACGAAACCTTTAAGTGTCGCACTTGAATTTGGATGAAGGGATACATTATGGGATTCTGCACTTTAACTATTCCCACAGAATAATTCCGTTTCAAAAACTCTTTATCGTATAATGCTATACTGCGAAACGTTAAATACCAAGATGTGTGGGATTTCAATCTCTGATGAAACGACATGCCTTGCTGTCCCTGGCATTCATTCATGAGCGTATATAAAATATTTGTACCTAGGAGAACAGGGACTTGCGAATTATATCTACTTACCGGAACTACCAATAATAAACACTGCAAGCCAGAATTATCTAATAAATCTGGAGTTTCCAGTGTTGCTTAAATATACCCAGAATACGGCAAAGAATTACCACCAGCACATTCAATATCTAAAATGTTTTCTAAAGGATACAACTTTAAATGAGATAAATGATAGTAGAAATATTCCTCGTTGATAGTCGATACCGTAGAACCCGTATCTAATAATGCAGAACAAGTCAAGCCTTCAATTTTAACAGAAACCTCGTTTGGCTCACCCACCAAACATAAACCTACCGACGAGGGAAGTCTCGATTTCTCCAACCCCGTGACGCTTCCCGTGACCCGAGGCTTTGATCGTTTTCCGACCAATTGCTATGCTGTGTTGGTGACCTACAATTCATCTGTAAATGCCCAGGTTTACCACATCTCCAACACACTGGTCCTGTGTGATAACTATTACGAAAATTCGTAGACGTTCCAAACCTTCTATTTCCGTCCTTTCGAGATGTGCTACCGGAAGATGATTGGACAGGTTGAACAAACTGAGATACAGTCTCCTTCAATTCCCCCATTTCAGTAGACAACGTCTTCACTATGCTCTGAAGTTCCTGTAACTCTGAGTTATATGAACGACCAAAACTAACCATATTAGACTGTTTAGGTTTTACATCAGTAGTTGATTTTCGACTATTCAAATCGAACTCGATACGTCTTACCTCAACTCTTAGTTCATCGAAAGTTGTAGGTTGATCGTATTTATGCGAAGATAATCCTTCAAATGAGGTAATAATCCATGCCAAAATACTCGACGGATTGCATTGCCAGCTTCATAGGAATTCGAATGCTCACTTTCAGTTGCTTCGGCGAACAAATTTTCGACTCTACATGCCCAAGAAGTGACAGATTCAGCCTCTTTCTGTCGAGCACTATAGAAATGAGCAATCAATGATTCTGATTCTTCACAAATACCGAACACGCTTTTTAGTTTAGCTAATATTTCTTTAATGGTCGCTTTTGTTCCAAGACGCATAATAACCTTACCAGCTTCCCCCTTTAATGAACGTCGAATAGCCAGTAAAATGATGTGATCGGGGTACACATGCTCAGATATCAAACAGTCAGCTTCATATTTCCACAGGTCATAACTTACCTCTCCTTTTCCAGACTCACCGTAAAATATTGATAGTTTTGGAATCTGATTACTAGGTCTTCCGGTACTTCGTTCAGTTTCTTCCGACTTATTTGGCCACTTACCTTGAGCTTTTAATGTCTCACTCATCCAAGACGTTACACCATCTGCAGTATGCACATCTTTTGTTGCAAACACCAACAATATCATCTTCCTCATGATGGCCTTTCTCTTTTAACTTATCCATAATGCAAATTAAATATAAGAAACCAACATAAAACTAAAAAACCAGCAAATTGAAATACTTCAGAATGCAACTAAATCCTATTAAACTGACATGGCCAGATCTGAACCAAATTTTACAGAGCATACATGGAACGGTACAACCACAAGAACCACATGCGAGACAGAGGAAAACGTGCTAAGTCTGGAAAAGAAAATACAAAAGTATATTTTATACTGGTTATATTGGTTTATAACTAGAACGCAAGTCTTTTTTGTGCACATCAACTAAATTTCAAAACTATGATGTAAGTCGATATAATCTCAGAAAACTAAAATAACGAACGTTACATAATTACAACAATTACTAAATTATATAAACCAATTTGTGTTTTATTGTATATCGGTTAGTAAGTAATGTATTTGATTGTACTGTCTAACCAGGTTGTATATCACATGGTTTAATCATTTGCTCGGTGGTTGGTTTTTAATAAAGCTCGTGCATTTTTCTATTGGTTGGATCTGGATACCTGCTGGTATAAAGCTTGAATTGGCTACAGTGGCCCAGTACCCACATGTGAGATAGTTGGGTGCGCTACTAACTTCTGTGGTCCTATTCCACAAACTGGGCTATTTATTTTGGTCGGTGGTACTTTAGCACTAGTCCTTAGACACCTTTTTTACTAATGGTATGATGGTGTAGATCTAATTAGTAATGGCGGAATGCATTGGAAGCCTCCGTATTGGTATTTAGCACATATCCACATATCCGCGACTAACCGACTTTCATGTGGTGTATTTCTTAGATGTAATGTGTGTAATAAATGTAAGAAACTGTAATCTGTAATTCCATCCTTCGACCCAAATACGTGGCGAGTCCCAGATTCCATCTTGCCTAGGGGCGTGTAGCTGCGACACTTAGACATTTGGGCCAATCATACTTTAGTCTCAAAAACTGGATTTTTTTTAGCTGAGCTAATCAGCTCACCGTGAACCGTGAACCTTCAAATCCATATGTGTTCAGAATTATCTGCGTTTCTTCAATTTAAGATACTTTGTGATACATAGAAAAGACATATTTCTGGTACTTCTGAAGACTATTTACATATCAAAAATCAACTAAAATCAACCTAACACCCTTTAAACCAAATGGTTTTGTTCCAAAATAAAAAAAAATAGCACAGACCAGAATAATAGAGGAGTTCCTCTATATATAGAAAGCCCTGTAATATACACATTAAAATTTGACTGTACATGATTAAAAGAAGAACTTTGTCAAAGCAAGGATGGATGTAGTAACCTGCACAATAAGAGCACAGAACGATATATCTAGATCTGTATTATAATCAGATCGTAGGCCTACGTGAGGCCAATTTGAAAGAATGGTGGACACCTACTACAAAACATTTCTCAATCCACTATACAAACTGTAACTGCCTAAACCACGAAATAACATTTAAGAACAGTTTGTAGCCAGATGACAACATTAACTTGACAAATATCACAGCCTGTATTTCTCACGTCGACTCATTAAAATTAACAGCTTATTAAATGGAATCAAAATTGAAAGCACATATGTAGGACTGAAACATCTCGATCGTAGCAGACTGGCCATAGGTCCTCTCGTGTTTCAAATCAAGTTCTAAGAATATTGGTAAGAAGCATACGGAGCTATAACATTTAATACTATTCGGAGTCCACCGCAATGTGTTCAAAATCAAACACAACACAATTTTAGGTTGTAAGTTCATGCATTGACATGAAAAGCCGCTATAATTACTACAGCCGTGTAACCTATTTTCGTGCATATAAGGATTCAACACCGAATTTCGTCAAAGTTAAAAAAATGGAATTTTTTTTATGTCTTAGATGTTTCCTCAGATATTCTACAAAATGATCAAAATTGGTTTGTTTTGATTTTCTTTATGAATCCTTCACTTTGACCCATATTTCATAAGTAACCAACTCGGCAAAATGCGTCACCTATTTTCGTGTACAATGTTTGATCTATAATTAAGTCGAGAAAAACTAGGTTAGCACGAAATTAGGTTACTTGTCTATATTAATTTCGGATTATATGCATTCATACCAAATTGCAAGAAAATAGACTGGTGGCCTACTTAGGCTATGGGACAGATTTAACTAGGTTTTTTTTAAAGTGGGTGTGCTTGAAGTGGGTGATAATTTATACCCTTTTAGACTAGATATAATTCAATATAGGATTATAGGCTTAACCAACATGATATGAAATAATCCTGAAATAGTTACATTAGAACATTTCTTTGACGCGTCTGACGTGTTTTCATTTCTTTGACGCATCGCATTTCTTTGACGTTTGACGTGTGACGAAAACCAGTTCTTTGACTTGCTTACTGACGGAAGTTTTGATGTTCCGATCGTGTGATGAAATTTCGGCCCAAACATATTGAATCACACTTAACCTTTCTAGAATACCGGATGCCACACAGATTTTGAGTTTTTCAAAAAAAGCAGCCCTTTGAGAAAGTTCATATTGTTCATGCGTTTTTTACAAAAACTCTGTAAAGAACGAATAATATTGGCAATTCCTACTGTTTTGACGTGTTTGTTTTCATAACAGAATTTTCTAAATGATCTTTCGTTTTTCGTTGAAATATATTGAAATTCTTTATTTAGTATGAGTTATTGCAGTTGTTCTTGAAAACGCGTTCAATTTTTAGCTTGTAAACACTCTAGAAGAGACAATTCTTGACAGATTTTGACGAAACTTGGCATGAGTGTTTGTTATCACCCAAGGATAAACCCTATTGAAAATCAGAAGAATCGAAAAATATTTAGTATGAATTATTGCCCTTGCTCTTGAAAAAACGTTAAATTTTTAGCTCGTAATCACTCTAGAAGGCACATTTCTTGCTGGATTTTCATGATTATATGCATTCATACCAAATTGCAAGAAAATAGACTGGTGGCCTACTTAGGCTATGGGACAGATTTAACTAGGTTTTTTTTAAAGTGGGTTTGCTTGAAGTGGGTGATAATTTATACCCTTTTAGACTAGATATAATTCAATATAGGATTATAGGCTTAACCAACATATGAAATAATCCTGAAATAGTTACATTAGAACAGTTCTTTGACGCGTCTGACGTGTTTTCATTTCTTTGCAGAAAGTTCATGGTTGAAAACACTGCGTGGAAGTCTGTTGGGATTGGAGTGTACACCTGCATTGGTACGAGTTGTCCTCCGAGGATAGGCATCTCCATTTTCTTTGCAGGGCTCCCCTGCTTTATGTAAACTTGTACTTTCAACCTCCGGTGTACTCTACTCTGAGGTTAGACATTGCATTTCTGGATCATCTTCTTCATCATCATCTTCTGGGAGATTTACCTTTTGTACAGACTGCTCCTTGTCGATGTCCTCGACCCTATCTGTAGGTGGTACCTGTCCTACATCCTCAACCACCGCCTATACTCCTTGTACCGGTAATTGCCTCTCCATAATGATATTTTCTTCATCGCTACTTGAACTTGATTCTAGTAGACTGTCTCTTCTGTCCCTCAAATGAATATCGCTTTCTTCGCCCACATGAATGCCGTTTGCTAAAGATTTTGAGTCTAACATCTCTTTCCTGTGGACTGTTTTGGGTGGTCCTCCTTTAAGTGGTTCTACAACATATTCGTTGAAGTCTTTCTTCTCAATGACTCTATATGGTGTAGGATTCCATATATCTTGAATTTATGTCTGTCCTGGATGTGATTTCTTAAGAAAACTCTTGATAAAACTTGAATTGGTTTATTTCGAGAATTGCTGTTGATCCTATCTTGTCGCTTCAGTGCTTCTCTCTCTGTTCTCTCACTGACTAGTCTGTACACTTCTTTCAGTTTCCTTTAGTTCTGGGAAATGATCTGGCCAGTTCCTCTTCTTTTCCTGTGGTAGAGTTCGTAGTAAATTGTGAAGTGTCCTGTTGAATCTTTCAGGGTGTGCGTTACCCTCTGAGTGATACGGTGTTGTCCTTGTTTTCTGCACTCCATAAATTTTACAAAGTTCTTAAATGATCTTCCTTTCAAAGTTATGGCATTGATCGCTGTGTAATCTTAATGGGACACCGAAACGAACGAACCAGTCTTTCACCAGTGTTTTTGCAACTCTTTTAGCACTTTGATCTTTCAATGGGGTAGCTTGGTTGAAATGAGTGTACACATCTGCCATGACCAACACATTCTCTATTCGGTTTGGTCCACCAGGTTCTAAGAGAGTAAAATCAATGGCTAGCCTTTCTAAAGGTTTCTTAGCAATAATTGATCCATAGTCTGGTTTGAAACATTCTACATGTTTACCAAGTCGACATCTTTGGCATTTATCACAGTACTCCTTGACTTCCTTGGCCATGAAAGGCCATATACATCTAGACTGCAGTATTTCAAAAGTTTAACACTGCTTCTTTGAGAGCTCTTGGGAGTATAATCTGTTTCACCATTTTCCCATTCAAGTTAACTTGTCTATAGAGTACTTTGTCCTCTTCAAAGACTTGCTTTCCAAAGCGTAGGAGTTTCCTGACTTCCCCGTCTTCGCGTTGAAGTTGACGACGTGTTGGTTTAGTCCCATTCTTCCAATATTTATAGAAGTTTGAGGTTGAATTGAGCAAGTTCTCCTGCCCATCTCATATCTGTAGCTCCAAGTTTTGTCTTAGTCCGCAGGTAACTCAGGGGACTGTTGTCAGTGTATACGTGCCGGATTAGCATAAGCTTAAGCTTGTTTCCGAACCCTTACTTATTTTCTGTAAAATTTCATTTAATAAAGAAATAAAATATTGTTTAAACCAGTGTATACGATGCATTCTGATCCTAATTGCAAGTCCCTATACTTGTCTGTTACTGCCCACTTTAGAGCAAGTAGCTCTAGCTTCATACTACCGTAGTGGTCCATGTTCTTTTCGTTGGGGCGTAGTGATCGACTCGAGTAGCTCAACACCACCTTCTTGCCATCCTGTTCCTGTGATAGTATAGCACCTAATCCCAGATGACTTGCATCAACTTCTAAGATGTAGGGCTTTGTGAAGTCTGGATATCCAAAGATTGGAGAAGTAGTAAGTTTTTCCTTAAGCAGTTCAAAAGCTTTGTCACACTCACCATTCCATGCTTTCATACCCAGACCGGTAGTATTCTTGCATTTTTTGCCTGTGCCTTGCACGAGTCCATGTAATGGTGCTGCTATTCTAGCAAAGTCTTTAATTAAACGCCGGTAATAGCCGGCCAAGCCGAGGAATCCTCTCAAATCTGTCTCTGTTTTCGGAGTTACAGCACTTATCTTCTCTGGGTCTGGTAGGAGTCCATGTCTCAAGATCATGTGTCCGTTTCCTTAAACATGTGACACTTTTCAGGATTCACCTTAAGGTTGAAGTTTGACAATCTTGAGAGTACCATGTCTAGATGTTTCGATGTCTCTTCCTCAGTTGATCCAAATACAAGGATGTCGTTCATGAATACAATAAGTATTTTGGAAATTCTGATCTCCGAAGATTTTATCCATGAGACGCATAAATGTCGCAGGAGCTCCTGTGAGACCAAAAGGCATCCTGGTGTATTCATAGAGTCCTCCTGTACCAACACGAAAGGCTGTCTTCTCAATGTCTTCCTCTGCAACAGGTAATTGGTTGAATCCATGGGCAAGATCCAAAATGCAAAAGTACTGTGATCCTTTTAGAACATCCAAGGCTTCTTCTATCCTGGGTAAAGGAGAAGCATCCTTTTGGGATTTGGCGTTCAGCAATCTGTAATCACAGCATCCGCAAAGTTTTCCAGAACGTTTCCGAGCAAGAACAACTGGTGAGGCATAGGGGCTTGAAGATACACGGATCTATCCAGCTTCTAGATTCTTGGCGAGGTACTCTCTAACTTCTTCCCAATGTTGAGGTGGTATGCGGCGATGTGGTACGTTGACTGTAATATTGTCTGTAGTGAGGATTCTGTGCTTCACAAGATCACCATATCCTATATCGTCTTCCGATTTGCTGAAAGCAGATTGATGTTTGTTGATAATAACACCCAATTTCGTTCTTCCCTCTCTGGAAAGTCCATTACCAATTTCCATTTTCTTCAGGAGATCTTCAGTAATATTGGTACTTGTACTATTATCTTAACTTCCTCTGAACTGACGTTGACTACATCAAACATAGGTTCAAGTGTTCCTGTAGAGATAGCTGCAACGGGAGTTCTTGGAGGAATGTAGATGTCATTCTCTAAAAAATTTCCTAGTAGAACAGGAATTACACCATCTGAGTTTACTGTTACCACTGCTGGTCCTACATGGAGTCCTTTCTCCAATGGATTTGTCACCAACTGTTCTGTTATTGCTGTGAATGGTGTCTTGGACTTCATTACACTTCCTTGAATAACTTGAAGAGAACGAGCAGGTATCAATACAGGTATATTATCAGCTACTCGAACAAGTTCTCAAATAAAGTTACATTTAGATTTGGAAACTCTAGTTTCCTCATACAAAGCTAATACACTTTTCCAAACATTTGAAAAATTAATACTTGTATGATTGTTATTAACAAAACTACAAACGTCCCTAAATACATTTGAGCCGATTACACCTGGAATATGTCTTTTTCTTTCACACATTGTCTTTGTCGTTGGATCTTTCACTATTAGAAAGGCTGCTTTGAATGTCCGATTGGATACTGAAATGTCAAATTCCACATAGCCGATGTAAGAAATGTCCATAGCATTCGATGTGGAAATCTTAATGAACGTGCTTTGACATCACTAATCCATTCCCTAAGAATGTTGTTTAACCCCGGAATCTGTCGATGCGACGACTAGTTGATACAAAGACTGGTTGCTGTGGTCGTTGTTGCCTGATCAACAGATCTTGTTCTTAAATCTGGTTCTTGAGCCTATCCAGTTCTTGAGCCATATCGTGGAAAGTCTTATCTTCCAAACTGTTGTGTTCTGCCATTCTAGTTGTAGTGTTCTAGTAGAGGGGCCTATTCTTGAAGAATCCGCTTGTCATTCTTGCCATATTCCACTTTTGACACCATGTAATTAACGGAGACGACACAAGAGTTGTTCCTTGATACAGTGGTGTAACCTATTTTCGTGGATATAAGGATTCAAAACCGAATTTCGTCAAAGTTAAAAAAACGAAAAAAAAATTTTATGTCTTACATGTTTCCTCAGATATTCTACAAAATAATTAAAATTGGTTTATTTCGATTTTCTTTATGAATCCTTCACTTTGACCCATATTTCATGAGCAACCAACTCGGCAACGGCGGCAGAATGCGTCACCTATTTTCGTGTACAATGTTTGATCTATAAATAAGTCGAGAAAAACGTGTTGTATGGATACCGGGTGGTATAATTAACTTCTCTTAGTATTTATCTTAAATATTAATTCATTATAACTAGTGACAATTCCTTCAAAGAAGAACGATTTAAAAAAAAATAGCGACTGACAAAATAAGATACGTAGCGTGATTTATTGCTAAAAGTCACTGAAACAACATAAAAATATGGTCCACTTTGTGTTCCATAGAAATTTTCTGCTGACACGGAATCCGCTAGTTGATCATGTGACTTCATTCGTTGGACTACATTCTAGCAGACGACACTTGGAATTCCGATTAGCGCTTGGGATTATAAGGAAATTCGGCCGATAAAAAATGGTGACGTTTGGTAATAAGTGAAATCCGCCATTTTGTATTTGTCAAAGTATACATTAATACATTTTACTTTGCTTGAAAATACTGGATTGATTCTTCTCGATGATATTGTACAGAAAACCCATGTTTATTAAAACAAACTAATGCGGAGGTCGCGCAAGGTCGCTCATGTAAAATTATTAATCATTTCCGGAAATCCACGAATAATAGGTTTCCACGAAACTTGACTGTATATTTATTAGAATATGGCTTACAATGCTGAGATTTGTAACATAACCAAAAAAGAAAAGAAAAACCACCTCAACTACACCGTAGAGTTAACAGTTCAGTATCTTAAAATTACTGGCAGGCGGGCTAACAAATACTGAATAACATATCTTAACAGGGATGAAAAAGTATCAAGGCTTTTGATCTGACAAACAACCCAAAATGGCGGATGACCTGGCACAACATAGCCTCAGAGCAAAATCATAAGACATCAAATGTCAAAATATAAAAAGTGATTAAAGTTAATCAACATTACTTAAATTGAAAATTACTAGAGGTAAATACCTTACATTGAAATAATTTTGCTTAATAAAAATAATTAGATTAAAATTTAGCAAGGGACAAAACTCTCGTCTTGCTAAGAAGTAAGAACACAATGTAGTGTCCATCTCTTACATTTAAAGGTAGCATTGACGTGTGACGTGTTTAACGTGTTGACTGGCGTACTGACGTGTAACGGAGAAACAATTGAAAGTTATTGGTAGATGTAGATATTAATCTTCATCTACGTCAAATCTGTAACCCTTGCTAGTAAACGCAGACGTTATAATGTTGATATCGAATATCAAAGCTCGCAACATGTAAAATACCCAGTTGTTACTAAACAACTCTTCCATACAAAGTCACGAAACGACCCGGAAGTTGTGAATGGCATCATGTTCCTGTTGTTGATTTGACCGACAGCGGTAGTTTGATGATAGTTTTGGCTGTAAGTAAAGTTTTGAAACTTATTTAATTCTGTATTTCAGGCTCTCTGTTAAACATTAAGTAGGCCTACATAAAATTGAAATTTCTGGTTATCAGTTAATTTATGCTTACTCTCACCCTTGGTAGATTTAGGCCTACTCTTATGTCTTAGGCCTACTCTGAAGTCAACTAGGCCACAGGTCCTTGAAGTTCAGTCAATATTAATAAAAATATGGCAAATGTGGAGAATATAGTGTCAACAACATATATTATATAGGTCAACGCTGTCACTATTTAAAACTTAAAGTGATACTACGTCTTAGAATGAACATAAAATTTAAGTTCTCAAGAATGGTCAATATGAGTATATATTCATCAGTGAACTTACCTGGTGTCATAAAGTTACAACAGAATCCCTGTAAAATCTAGAAATTGGAAAATTCATAAATCATAATATTAAGCGTTTTTCAATATTTAATTGCATATTTATTAAGTTTTTTGGATTTATCAGGTTATATGATAAGGATACTGTTATGTTATTTATGACAACAGGTATATCTACTGATAAATATATGCTCTTATTGGCCAAGTTTGAAATTTTTATTTTAATGTTTATTCTAAGACGTAGTATCCCTTTAAGATTTTCCTTTCCAAACTAAGACTACTAGACCTTACTAGTAGAATATTCTAAAATGTCAGGTACCGGTACTCTTTTGAACTTGAAATATCAGCAACAAAATACTACTGGGAGTCTTAGATTGTGTTTGGGTTGATGAAAAGTTATTAGATCTATTTCTGAAAATTATTTTACAGAGGGAAATTTCAGTCTGAAAACTAGGTCATTTTCAGTGAATTTACTGGGAGAGAAGTGTGTCTATTTTAAACGTAAAATCATTCAATCTTATATTTCTATAGACCCAAAGACATTCTAAGACCAATGCTATCTTACAGCTGAAATTTTTATTTGAATATATTTATGAAATGAGAGAAAAAATTCAATTCAAAGCTCAATGAAGTCAGAGTAGGGGCTCGGCTTAGGTCCTAGTTAATATTCATTCACTAATTTTTTTATTTGTTTCAGAGTTTAGCATTGTATTTAAAAGAAATCATCGAATAACATTAATTTAGAAAGTAAACAGGTATTAAAATGGATCAGTCAGCATTGAAAGATCCTAAAGTTCAACGTTTCATTCAAGAAGTTGGTGAACAACAGAAATTGCAGCAAGCTATACATCAAGTGAATGATCTGTGTTTTAATTTATGTATAGACAAACCTGGCCAAAGATTGGACAGTAGAAGCGAATCCTGCTTGAAAAATTGTGTGGATCGTTTTATCGATACCTCTAATTTCATTGTCAACAGAATGAGTAATTTCAGTTCTACTAAATTTAGTTCATCTGGATCTGAGTTCTCATGAAGAGTTGCCATGAATGAAAGTGTGTGTATACACATCATTTTTGACATTGTGTGTAAAATGAAAACTTTTATTTTTATGGAAAAACACAATTTTAAGCGGCATTGACACAAATGATCTATTTTAGGCTAGGCACATCCAGCTAGACTAACCATCATTGGCAAATAACAATAATAAAATTGGAAATCTTCAAAAATAAAATGTTTCCTGAACTATTATAGATACAAAATTTTAATCTGTATATATTTCATCAATAATATTATCTGAAAATCTATGGTTCAAGTTGAACTCGATCAATAAGCGAAGGATATAAGAATTCATGCATGGTGTCCGGAATTAGGATGAAGAAAAGTTATAAATATATTCATTATTGTAGACATAATTAAAGGCACTGTCCGTAATTTCATATAGTCATATAGATACTATTGACAGCAAACTTATCTACCAAAATTCTAATTTGATTGGATTGTACTCTGTTGGATACAGCCCATCAAAACCCTGGACAGAACATATGTGAATGATAAGACAAAATGTTTATTTACAGTCTTTCCGTCAATGGCTCTGGCTGTATTCGCTGGCTTGAAATCCAATCAAATCACTGCATTCTGTGATACACGAACATTGACTTTTGTAATACCTTGACCAGTCATAGTTTGTAATACCTTGACCAGTCATAGTTTGTAATACCTTGACCAGTCATAGTTAGTAATACCTTGACCAGTCATAGTTAGTAATATCTTGACCAGTCATAGTTTGTAATACCTTGACCAGTCATAGTTTGTAATATCTTGACCAGTCATAGTTTGTAATACCTTGACCAGTCATAGTTTGTAATACCTTGACCAGTCATAGTTTGTAATACCTTGACCAGTCATAGTTTGCAATACCTTGACCAATGTGAAGATGGGAAACACCAAGGAATGACTTGAAAGTTTTTAATTGCTCAATTATTGTTTAGTAAATATACAGCAATGAGATAACATATATTAAAAAAAAAATTAAAGATAAACAAAATTAAGAAACAAGTTAAGAAATTTCACAGAAAGATGTGGTCATAAATAGAAATATGTACAAACTGTAGCAGTACAACAGTGAGGGATAACTTAACAATATAACCATAATACTGAGGACTAGAACCTTAATACTTGGTAGTTTTGCAGATATATTATGCCTTCTTCATTTATTTGTGCACATATATAACCTTGGCTAAAATAATTGTGCTTTCAATTTTACAAGAATTAACTGATTTACAAAGTGCTAATCAATTTCACAAGAATTAACTGATTTACAAAGTGCTAATCAATTTTACAAGAATTAACTGAATTACAAGGTGCTAATCAATTTCACAAGAATTATCACAGTATTGATGAAAATTTCATTTGTTATACAGTAAGTAATTGGCATGATAGAGTGGAATTTTCTGTTCAAAAAGTTAGCCGCATTTCATGGAGAGAAGTGTTTTTCTTGTATAACCCTCTATTTCTAAGGACGCATGAATATTCCAAGACCAATAACACATAATTGAAAATTTATTGAATTTTTGTGAAATGAAATATAAAAAAAAATTCTAATCAGAATTAATAGTGTTTGAGAATAGTTATTGCTTTTCACTCTTAAGATGCATCTGTCAGGGTTTTCCAAACAAACAGTCCACTTTCTTATAAAAAGAATACAATTTCGACAAAAATGTTTTCTGCATATTCACAAATAATTAAAAAATTTAATTCAATTTTTAAAAATTGATGGAATTTGGGATTGACTGACTAATAGTCATATAGATACAATAATACAATATGGCTTTTCACTTATTCTATTAGCAGAAACATTAAGATAATTTATTTAATAATAATTAAAAACAATTAGCGAAAACAAAAAATGGTTATAAAAGTTCATACACAAAAACAAATCATATTTTAAATCAAATAAGTATTACAATAAAAAAAGGTGGTTTAATAAATTGATAGAGATGAATACTTGCTTCTCAAACGAATAGGCTTAAATTTCAGCTATTCAAAGCACTTTTTAAATTAAAATTTAAAGAGATGGTAAATACACAATGTCCACATTTTAAACTGTCATAGCCCCCAGGCCTTATTGACCAACATACGTATAACTGATATTATGCTGTTTATTCTTTGTAAAAACTGCACCGAGAATATTAACACCTTGGAAGCACCTTCACAAAATCAAGTTATTACAAACTGTGTCTTATACCTTGGCTGCATCGGCCACCTTTCTTATATCACAGAAGTTTGTAAATCTAGGTCATTTGTTGGTTTGTACACAAGCAAATACAGCCAATTAAGAGTCCGTGACTAAAAGTCATGCCATATTTCTCTCTATTCCAGTGCTCTGATCCAACGTATACAAATAGGTGACTATTGAAGTCAAGGTATACGACACAGCATGACATTGTGAAGATGAAAATTGATATGGACACATGAAAAAAAATTTAAGCATGTAACACTAAAAAAAAGTTCTTTGTTTTTATTAGTACATGACATTAATTGCAAATTAACTGTACATAATTTAGAATGGTAAATAAATGTACAGATTGGAATGTGAATATATTGAAAAAACATATTCAAGTTAGTAATGAGGTTATATGATAGCCTTAAATTTGATTTTATTGTGATAAATTGATTAGCATTTATACTACACTTTTTCCTTAACAGAACAGGAAAAAGAGAAACTGAACGTAGAACTGAGACTAGAATTTTTTTTAGCAAAGGTTAAATATGAGACCCCGCACATCAAACCAGGTATTAAGTAGCATTTGGTGTGTGTAGAGCTATTAGTATATTTGGATTCCTGACATCATCAGCTACATCTTGATACCAATTCCATCTCAATAGCTTTCTCCGTTATAGAAGATATAGTGAATTTAATATCCAGATTTGAGTCCCCTTTAATACTTCACTGCCAGCTTCTTACTGGGCAGTGCATCTTAATACCTGATACGATGTGCAGGATCACATATATTGTTTATTTAACTAAAAATTATTTATATGTGCCCACCAAAGATTATTCATTTTTTTTAACCCTTTAAATAATAGTGTTGAATCTCTAAAACTAATTAATACATATATATTCACAACAAAATAGGAGCTAAATAAGCCACAACATAAAATTATACAATTCATTAAAAAATCTTAACAAAACCCCATCTTATTACAACAAATATAGGTTTACTAATGTCAATAATGCCAATATATTTAGTCAATGCAATGGTTATGATAGGTCTGATTCCCAAATTTCTGAATTAGGGATCCCAAAAGAGTTGTCCAGTGTTTGAATGCATATCAAGAAAGATTATAGCTTCCGTCTGCAGTTCCAGTCTAACATATGCAGTTTCTACTTGATCAGATTATGATGTGACTATTCAAGACATATTCTTTTCTTGGCATAGAAATTTTCTTTGTAATCCTTGAATCAAAGATTCCCAAGGGTTCTTAAAAGCTGGTGATAAAACTCAATTTCAAGTCACTATCATTTCAAGTCATGGTTTTAAGACCATCAGCAAATATCAAGAAACCTAATTATTCTGTCAAACAGCATTTCTACGAAAGATATCGTTATTACACTTTCATAGTTAACAAAGGCTAAAAGAACTTGAAAAGCATGGTCCTTTTTCAATGCTTATCAAGTATATGAAACTATCCCAGCCATTAAAGGGACTACAGAAGCAATGACTAAAATCATTACTAATGATAAAAGATGAAAATACAAACCTAGAAAACAGGCTAAATATATCTTACAATTTAATAGTTTATATTATGACAAAATTGATCACTGATATACCCCTTTTACACCTCTTTATTTCAGTGCTGGTACTCTTTGACAAGCATAAATATGATAAACCTACCTAATCCACTTTAATTTCAACTGGGTCAAAAAAAAAGTCAATTCCTGTATACTCAGGAAGAATTTATTTTTCAGTTTTTTACTTAATGTGGATCACTTCTAAACAAATTTTTCTAGTAGTAAAATACAAGTACATGGCTTTACCCTTCTAGCCATTTTAACCACCTTAATACATATCCCCCTGGGCCAATTCATACATTCAATTTTTTTTTTAGAAAACAATGTTCAAGAAATTCAAATTCAATCAAAGTTGATCATTTAGCATGGAGTAATGATGCTCATGATGCAAACTTGATGACCTGACCCAGGGGAATATATTAAGATACATTGTTGGTCAATTTGTCAGTGCCATATAAATACAATAATGAAATTGGATTTCATGGAATACACAAAGGTGCTGACATTAACAAAGAAATATAAAAGACAAACAAAAATTGCATAATACATTCCCTAAATATTGAGCTAGATTTTTTACCTAGGTAATTGCAAACAGTGGTCTTTTTGTCAGCAATCCACATCATTACACCATATAGCAACTATAAAAGTCATATTAGTCATGGCAACAATTTTTTCAGAGCAACACGTCATGTCAGAGCAACATTGTTGTCAAAACAATAATTATCAGACAAAAATGTCAGAGTGCATCAATATTGTAAAAACATCATCATTGTCAGAGCAACATAGTTGTCAAAACAATAATTATCAGACAATAATGTCAGAGTGCATCAATATTGTCAAAGCATCATCATTGTCAGAGCAACATCATTATCACAATTATCAGACAATAATGTCAGAGTGCAACAATTGGCAGAGTGCATCAATGATGGTCAAAGTAACAATGTTGTCAGAGAATTGTCTATGTCAGCAGTTTGTTTGACAGTGGGAATTTAACTTAATGAAAATGTCAGCACCTGAAATGCAGTGAAATATTATACATAAAAACTTAACTATTGCTCGATCCAGGATGGCTTTTCAGCATTGGGTCTTTTAAGGGAAATGTTAAACTGCTTCAGGGTATTCTCTAGAGCTGCTTCATTGCCACTAAAATAAGCTGATATTGCATTATGAAATAATAGTAACTGTTTATGCATGACTTTAACCTGCAAAATATATAGAGTTTTCATATGAATTTTTGTGTAGAAGAAAATTTTATGATAACTTTTGTCATGCAAATAACCATATTTCAGATGAAATTTTCCTGTATAAACTTCAGAAAAAATATTCCTGTATAAACTTCAGAAAAAATATTCCTGTATAAACTTCAGAAAAAATATTCCTGTATAAACTTCAGAAAAAATTTTCATGCAAATGTTTCAGATAAAATTTTCCTGTAAATATTTCCGATAAAATTTTCCTGTAAATATTTCAGATAAAATTTCTGATAAAATTTTCCTGTAAATAATGTAAATATTTCAGATAAAATGATCATATAAATATTCCAGATAAAATTTTCCTGTAAATATTTCAAATAAAATTTCCATTTAAATATTTCAGGTAAAATTTCCATATAAGTATTCCAGAATTTTGAATTGTGAAGCGAGTGCAAATTCCTTCCTTTAATGAATGAGAATGCAATGAGAAGAAGTTTACCTTATTTTCTTCTAAAAATTTCAGTTTAATGTTTACATCTCCTCTTAATCGTTCAAACTTTAACTTGTGTTCTTCAAATTTTCTTCTGGAATCATCTAATTTCTGGACCATGGCGGAATCTTTAGGGGACTGAGACAGGTAATCCATATCACTTCTATATGCATCATATTCTAATCTACATCAACAAAGACAAAAGAATTCTGATTTTTTTTTGCATTTTTCAAGTTAAGGTGCATCCATTTCACAGAAAATGGTGGTACTTTCTGTACCTGGTTCAGGAAACCATTTGAAAGGTATGACGTTCACTGTCCTACTCTTCTGCTCATAGGTGAAACCATGCTGTGTGCAATGAAGAAAAGAGTGCAAAGCCTTAATGTACTGTTAAGGAGAGAAATCGTGCTCTTCTCTTCTGCACCTAATTGTGTGCAATTAGAGAAGCGCCAAGACATTTGTACTGGCCTACTAGATATTCCATTATGAAATATTTAAGCACACATTGATTAGGGTCTCAGATAATAATATAAAAATTAAAAGCCTACCTTGCTACTTCATAATGTTTGACAGTCTGTAAAGTATCCTCCATTGTTTTATTACATAATGTGTTGATGGAAGAGGTGAAAAAATTTAAAGCGCCTGAAATACAATTAATTAACATTACATATTAAATATTTTTCATTTTTATTAATAGAGTTCATCCCTGCGTTATAAACAATTTCAATAAGTTCCGTCAAAATCGGTCAAGAATTTTGCCCTTTGGAACGTTTACGAACTAAAATTTCAATATATTTTTAAGAGCAAGGGCAATAATTCATATCAAATTATTTTCAATATTTTGGATTTTCAATAGTGTTCATCTTGGGGTGATAAAAAGCAATTTCATCAAGATTTGTTAAAATCCATCAATAATTGTCACTTCCAGAATGTATACAATTGTGATGCTTAAAATGTGCAACACCAATATATGCTCCACATTTCATGTTGGCATATAAAAGTTACACAGCTAAAGTCTAGTTCTAAAAGTCCTAAATAACAACACTAATGGTAAACTGGTTCATTATATTTTGATAGTGTAAGGTTACTTCAGTTTTTGACAATTATAAGTGTTTTTGAAAAATTCATGCAAAAAAACAATATTAACCCAAATTTCATAATTAACAGTTAGCAAATGAATCTAACCGAGCTTCAAATCCTACCTAAAAGAGTTTCTCCATTTTTTACCAAAGCTCGCTGAGATTCACAATTGGTGGTAAACTCTTCCTGCAACTCCGGCGATTTCTGGGCCAATTCTGAGAATGTGTCCCCCATTGCACGCTGTGTCTGAACCACATGATAAAAATGATTGGTCATTGCTCTGGCTAGTAATAGAATTCTTGAGTATTTCCGCTGTGTATCCCTTAAAGCTTCAATCTGTCCTTCCATTTCCACGTCAACTGTTTTGGATCCTTTTCCCAGACGTTCCGACAGAAATTGACGTGTGCATTTGTAAGTATTCAAGCTCCATTCTTTAATAGTTTCAAATTTAGAATGAGCCGAATGTGTCATGGTTTTAGGAACAAAGTCATTGGTATTACTTGAATTGTGATTATTTGACAATGGAACATTACTTGTGGCTGAAACATAAAAAGCAAATCGATACAGAATGTTGCTCACATTCAAAATTTCCAAAAAGGCAAGGAACAACTTGCTCTGTAAAAATGCAACCCTGCATGTACTTTGGTAGTTGATAAAGAGTCAATACAAGGCTTTTAGGTCTCAAATCACCCTAGATAATTAATGGCCTATTTGGTCTTCCATATTCATTTCTAATGTTTAATCTCTTGCAAGACATAATATGCAGGTTTTCTCAAATATCCATTCCACGGCATTATAAGCTATGATATTAAAAAAACATGCAAGATTGATGAGATGACTGTAAGTTGGAGCTGATAGAGCTAATAAGCTCATTAGGAAATTTAACATGTTTGAAAATACATGTACTCGTTCATGTTACTTTAAATAAGCTTAAGCTTACAGTAAAATTTTGAAAAGGTTTTTGAAGATTAATTATAGAATATGGACTAAATTATGGATTTAAAAAAGATAAGCTTAATCTTTTTCGAAATGAATAGAATTAAGCATTGGTACATATCTGATACAAATGTAATGAGATCAAGCTTAAGCCTTGGTTGTTCTTTATTTAAGCTGATATTTTTTAGATAAAAAATGATGTAAAGGTATATTAATGAGCTACTAACATAATTACGAATTAAGCTTACTAAAATGAATAAGCTTAGGTGATGATAAGCATACCTCTGTAGATACTGTTTAAGCTCGTTACAAGCTTTGTATAGGCAGAAAGACGAAATTTCTGAGCTTTTGGGCCTAACCCATTTTATCAATGATTTTTATTGGTACCGGTACCGGTACCAAGCGCTTGGAACAATTTATAAATACAAAGCACAGCGGCTTGCAGCAAAGAACTGAACAGGCCTTATTCAAAGCTCTGACAAAAGAATCCAATATCAATAAATGTTGAAGTTATAAAGTTTTAAGTTAAAGTATACCGGTAGTGATAACTTGAATTGTTTTTTGTTGTTAACAGTTGATACAATTTTTAAACAATTGTTCTTCCAAGCCACAGAATTATGCATCATCATCACCTTGCAAAATGAAATATTAATGGAAAAGAGCATGAAAATAATGTTAAAACAAGGAAAGTAGAAGATAAAAGGGACAGACCAGGAGGCATTGTGTAGGAACGTGTCATTTGTGGTTTATCACTAGAACCATACGAACTACTAGAGCCTGGATAAGATGACGACATCCTATTTGGAGTTCCACCAAGTACTGTTGAACTGGCTTCATTTACATTTGGACCATCTTCCAGCATTTCTTCCAAATCTCTTTCAAATGTATCATCAGTATTTCCATTGGACATTTGACTCTGAGTCCTGTCTTCTGCCATGATTAAGTATGGTGTGGTTTATTCTACTGCAAATAAGTTTTTGATGAACTATTTAAAGCTTATATCAACAATATGATACAATAATGGTACTATGTTATTATTTTGTTGTTGCTGACAAAAAAAAATATCATTATCAGGGAATTGATAAGCTTACATCACGATTCAAGAGGCCAAGATATGCACTGTTTACAAATTGATTATTTACTCTGCCTTTGAGCTTGAGCTTACCAAGCATAAATCTCCAAAAGGTCCAAATCTGTTGGCCTAGATTAACAAAATTTCTTAAGCTTAAATAAAGTAATATGGCCAATAAGTTCAGCTCAATACAAGCGTCATTAAAAATGAAACTGAAGTCATTGTGCCCCCATTAAATAAGTGTCTAGGCTTTCATCTACAATAACACAACAAGTGCAACATTCACCGATTCTGGTTGAAATGCTTAAGACTGGCCGATTGATTATCTTGCAAGCATTGCGAGTAAGCCCGAAGGCGGTATGTCTGAATCTCCTACTATAGTGCATATCGCATCTAGAAATGATAATTTTGTTAAATTCAACAATGCTGTATAATAATATTGCTGTCTTACTCACAATTTACTGATTTTGGTGTGAAAATGGTCGATTTCATCGGCCATCGACGTGTTGTGAATGACGTACTTCCTGGATGTTTCGTAATATAATCTGCTTCAATACTGGAGTCGTTTCGTATTAAAAAGATAGCCCGAAATAGTCCTACTTAATTGTTCTACAAGGCATAATACACGCTTTTGAGCTAGCTTATTGTGTAAGGTCAAAGAGCTAACAACCACCGTAATATAGTCTTTTAAATATTTGCTCTACTCCCTACCAGCTTATAGAACTAAATTTCAGCTTTAGATTCGACAATAATTCTGCAATTAGACCAAAATATACCTTATAAAATAAGACTGTCGTAATTTTCAGATCAGGGACGTTTTCGATTTAAATTTCTGGAAGGGTAGTGTTTGTATCTTGATTAAACGTTAACATCCACACATTTTGATCAATATAAAGCCATTGTAAGAGTATCAAAATAATCGCCCTGAAAATGTGCAAAGACAGTAATTGGGGATAGACGGACCGACGGGATTGGAGATCAAATCCTCCCTTCCCCGAAATAAAATTTTAAGAAAGTTATGACTAAAGCTGTCCTGTTCAATAAGACTATATTATCCAACCACGAAATAGTAAGGATTTGGAGGGGAAAGGGGTAATAGTAAGAATTTATGATGGGAAGGGCATAATGCAATAGATCAACGATACTGAAAAGGCTATTAAAAAGTAAAAGGTTGAAAACCCCTGATGTAAAACAAATATTGCATTTCATTGTATATTTTCTGCAAAAATCTTTATAATAATGAACAACATTTAAGATATTTTTTTATTTGTTTATTAGAAAAATACTACACAAGAAATTATGTTATTAAAGATGGGTTGCCTTAATTTTAATTATGAAAATGAAATGCTAATACCATATGAATAGAAAGTGGAGGTGTTTTAATGACTTAAAAAATACCAGTTTGTCTCACATGTCCATAATTAATTCATAATTATCTAAATAAGAAGAGAATTACCAGCAGAGATTCAAAGTGGGACCGATCAAGATAGGTCAAAAAGTCCTTTTTTGTTTATCCAGACTGTACATACATGGACATTTATGACTGGTGAAAACTCTTAATTATATGCAATAAGAACATAATGATATGATTAAGAATACATAATTCATTAGAAATACCAATTAACCAAATATTTGCTCAATTTCACTCTAAAAAAATAAGGAAACCTATCTTTCAATTAATCACTAAGACTATCTATTCGCATAATTGGCCCTGAGATGACAAAACTTTTATTTAATAAAGAGCTGTGATACTCTTATTATAGCAGGAATAAATTAATATAAGAAAAAAAGAAACCATCAATGTTTACAATGATACCAACATGGGTTCAAGAGGATTAGGTCTACCTACTGGTCCATGGAAAAACATCAAATTGATCTTTCCCGGCTTATCGATACCCGTTGGGTAGACTTGAAAATCGACTTATTCAAGAAAGGTCATCCACCGAGATTTGAATACCGAGATGAATATCTGGATAACCTAATACGTAAAGAATAGTCCTTTCAAGGGACAAGTAGGCCATTTTTTCACCAATCATACTTTAGTCTCAGATACTGGAATTTTTTTGAAACTAAGCTTAAGTGTTTACAGCTCAAAGTCGAAATTTGAACCTTCAAATCCATGTGTGACCAGAATTATCAGCGTTTGAATGTTAAAACGACATTTTAAGATAGTCTGTAATATACAGGAAAGATATATATATATAAATAGTAAGTAAAATTCCTAGTTTGAAGTATCAAAAAGAAATTATGTGATTTTCGTACATTTCTAGTACTTTTTAAGACTGTTTTAAAGGAAAGACGAAACGCTTTTCGTTTCAAACTAAGCACAGGTGTTAGGTTACATGTAAGATAAGAAATCTATATACTGATAGAATTAGGTATTATTTCCGGGTCCAGATAGATATAAGGAATTCTTCTAGTGATATTTCTCTCTTTGATGATACCACTGATTTTTTTCAGATCTGCCCGGAATCTGTAAAAAGAAGACAAAATATCATGGTAGACTGACCAACTGCGGATTTCACTTGATATTATGTATCGTGCGTTTTCAATTTTCAAACAGTAACGGGGAACCACAAAAGACTGCATAAATGAAAGAAAATTGCAAATAAAACACCTATAAAGATCTATATCCTCTTGGCTTAGATGCGTGTCGCAACTGTCGCAAAATCCCTGCCAGGAATTACAGAGACCACAGACGTTGGAATGAATGATGTAAATAGAAGCAATAACACTCTCCAAAGTACAAAAGCTCGAAAAAGTGTACTTGGTTGTAAGGCGTTACCGAGAGTTGCGGCGCCAGCCACCCCGTGACTGGGGGTACAAATAGGGAGCAGAGTGACCAAAAAGCGGTACAGCTGGGAGGTGTATGTGCATTCTGACACATAGTTTGAGGCAAGATGTTAAAAATCATATTTCTTAGAATAAAGTTGGGGTACAATATTGGGATGCAAACTACTTTTCTTGGACAAATGAACCCCCCCCCCCCCCACCCCTTATAACCACAAATTCATAATCAGGCCTGTACTTACGCTTCAACAACTCTCTTGGCATTCGGATCAGCAATGTACATCAATTCAAAATCTCCTAAACTATTGGTCCCTTTAGCACTCAAAACTTTAGTAACGACCATAACGTCTAAAGAATTTTCTTTGCTGGGCAAGCAACTTAGGATTTGTTTTTCATCAACATGGTCCTTGAAAAAAAAAAAATCATTTTTATAACCTGTCGACATTGTAATGTAGATATTATTCTGATTTTGTCGTCTGAAATGTATGCAAGTCCACCTTCGAAAGAGATCCGCTATATTTTTTTTTTTAACCAGAATGAACATTATTTTCAAAACATCTCAGGTTCGAGGGTTTCCTACCAGCTCTCCTTTACCAACCCTCTTGGAATTGATCTTTTTTCAGATTATCTATACTCATTTACGGTTAGATAGACTGAAATGGCTGCGAAGTTTAAACTTGCTGTAGCAAACCTTCGTCGTCGGCGGTGTTCCCTTGAAAGTAGCTGGATAGTTTGGTGGAAACCCATATTCTTCATATTGTGGAAAGTTGGTAGCTGCATGTACGACACTACATGTATATATAACACACGTAACAACTTTAACTATATCATCTTGAGTTCGAAATGTGCCGTTATGTGGTAAACCCTAAGATGAAGAAGAAATTTAAAAAAAAGGTGAAAAAAAACCAAAGAAAAAGAAAACTATATAAGAAAAAAGTTGAAGTCTATAATTGGGTCTCACTGGAAGATTCTGTGCGCGTGCCAAAAGCATAGAACTGAATCTTGAGCTATCTCTCTTTTGGTGCCGGATCCTGTAGTAGTCACGCTTGTTTTGAAACCAAATTACATCCATAAAGGTTGAATTATTAAATTGTACACCTTATTGGCAAAGATATCAACCCCTGGAAATGATGAAATCTTCAAATATAGGGCGGATATGACCAGTGATTTGATAAATAAATACCTCATAATATACTGGTTTAATGCATAGTATTGAATAACAAGATTGCTTATTATTGCGAGGAATGGTTGATTTTTATTACCTTGAGACCAACTCCTCCACTTTCTCTTTCCATAACTAATTCTCTTCCCCAGCCCTGAAGTTCCCAATCGTCAGCAATTTTATCTCCGCCATCTGAAAAAAAAATTCAATTTATACTTCAGTCACTGACGAAACTCTTTCACTTTCATGTGAATGGTTAAGAACAGAACGCTTTTGAGCGGTTCGTTGAAAAAGGGCGTCGTCTAAAAGAAAATCCCAAAAATCAAGACGTTCTATGCCGAGTTTATATATGAATAATGAATATTGTTCTTGCTATGAAAATTATTACATTTTATTGAGAATATTATCATACATTACCATAGTACAGATTCACGTATTCGCTAGCATATTTCTGGATAGCATTATATAACAATAAAGCATCGTCTCTGAAATGGTAGCCTGGTAGAACATTTGGATCGTCTAACTGAAAAGAGACATCAAGTATTATGGGATATGGATTTTTTCATTTATAATTGATACAGGATAAATGACTGTATATCTCCTTTGTGTGACTATACGTAAAAGAGGGTTTTGATTAGGCGTTGATTTGAGTCATTTTAACATTCAAACGCGGATATTTCTGGACAAACATGGATTTGAAGGGCCACATTTCGACGAAGAGCTGTGAACACTTTTACTGATTTGCTAAGCTAAACAAAAATTCACGTTTCTGAGACCAAAATATTATTGGTCAAAAAGAATGGCTCATTTAATGTTAGGTACTTACTCCTCGGCTTTTTAAATCGTCCGGTAAACATCCTTCTTTATCTAATCTCCACTTGTCTATTCTATTAAAAAAAACCCACAGAAATACAATAAAACATGAATAATAACATAAATCCAACAGCAGGTGACCAACACAGTCGCACAGTAGCATTAGATGCTCTTACAAAGCAAAACTGGCAGCCGTTTAAGTAACTAAAACACAAATCTAAATGCAATTTTAAAGTAGACGCGGGCTGATATACGCGGATGACCCCCTCCGCCTTTTATAAATATATGTACCCTAATCTTGTTCAAAAATACAATTCTGCCTCCCAACTATTTGGTTGTCTGTGTCGCAACTTCACATTACATATTTAGTTCGAATGTATTAAGAATTCATCTATTTACGGGTAATATATACTGTGATTTTCCGAAAAATGAAAAGCGAAAGGCCAAGCCCAATAACTCACAAACAGTTCATTAATAATGTATTTCACACTTGAATCGTACACATCATACTCAATTTCATCAAAACTGTATAGAGCACTGTTATCTCGATAGTGTAGGTCACATTTGATAACCTTTTAATAAAGCAATAGAGCTATAAAAATGACCATGTTAATGTTAAACAAAATATTTCGAGTGTGACTGCGATATCATCAATATATTTATATATACCTGTGTATATAAAGCTACTACAACTCCAATGCACAAAAACATACGCTTATATCACATATTGAAGGGGAATAACTCAAAATTATTTAACTGAAAAAAAAAACAATTTCTTACTTGAATGAAAATCAATATGTGTAGCGAGTTCATCAAGTTCGGATAATAAGTGTTGAGTCTATCGTGCTTCAAGCTAAATAAGACGCGCTGGGGCCCCAATTATATACAAAATTCAACAAATTATAACCAATGTCGCATTTTACCGAGATGTCATCTATATTTACATGCAAATCATATTCCATCAATATCGGATAAAAACTGTAGCTTTTATTGGGTCTACATGCAAAATTAAGGTATAAAAAAGGCAATAATTAAAAAAAAAAAAAAAACATGAAATGGTTGACTATTTTACTTGGCCGAGATCTCATAATTCATAACAAGTTTCTTAAGATCGTATTTAAGTGTTGCACATATTTCGATTAGTAAGCGAATTTGACAGGTTTTGTTAATAATCAAAGGAAAAACACAAAACTGTGCATTCATTTATTGCCAAATTTTAAAAAAGATCCGAGGAAAACCGAAACATATGTTGTATCTACAATCCAAATATGTTGCGGTTTTCCTGAATTTACAAATTTACTGAATTTTTCCGTATTTACAAAAACATGAACCGATCAGAAACGACTTGGAAACTTACAAGCATGTACATCAACTTTTATGAAGATCAGATAAAACACTTTTTCTATCATATCTACAATAAATGCAAACGTGTGGGCAGACAGGGGCGACGACGACATTCATTCCCATGATCTGAATAAATTATTCCTTCAATGGCGTTCACTTAAATTTTGGTCCAGTAAGACAATATTTGATGTTTGATAAGACTTGGATTGGTTGATTAGGGTTGACAATCAATCAGAAGTATGCGTTTGAAGTTCATTCTATAATCTATTACATGGTAATTTTACGGATATTAGTTTAATAAAAGACTTGCAGCAGAGTTAAAAACCAGTGGTAGAGCAATTATTGGTAGGTGTCTCTCAATTCCTACGTTTTTAATATTTTCATACTGTTACCGGGTCTATTTTCACCAATGGCATTAATATAACATAATAAATTATAATACATCGTTTTGTTCCTTGTAAAACATTACACTGAACAGCAAGAAGTTACAATTCAAGCGTATTTTTAAAAGTACTTTTAATAACTGGGTTGAGGTATGAGATTTGATTTTTTTTTTTGCTGAATCGTATTGTTCTATAACAAAACACAAGACAATATTATGGAATATAACACACTTCTTTAATAAGGTGGGGCACAAAAACGTATATGTTATATCTGGAATAACGGATTTTTTCCAGATCATTATAACAATACTTTAGGGTTGATTCAGGTCATACATCGTTTAATACAGAGATCAAGTGAATGAGGTCAACTTTTAAGTACAATGTCTTCAAACTAAATCCAATGACGCAAATATAGTTAACCGATAAATTACATCAAGGTTGCGAAGATTCGATCGAGAATTAACACCGTAACTGGGTCAAGAAGTCCGATGTAAATTTATATAATCACCTCTGCATCTTTTACGTATACGAAGATACACTATATAAATAGAAATTGGTTTAGTTTTATATTCACATTAAATCATATGCCTCGCTACACGGACAGCACAGCAGCAGTAATCATCACAGGGAGAAAGCTTGGAAAAACATTTCAAAGTGTGCGGTAAGTCTATATAATCTCGAATTTTGATTTCATAAGATTTATTATCTTTCCTGATAATAGATTGCTATTTTACCTTACTAAAATTTCATATTGACATTCAAATTTAATAATTTAAAAAAAACAACAAATTAAATATGATCGATTTGCCTATTTTTCAGATATGAACTTGCATCAACAAATGGAAAAGAAAGTTTCTGTAGACTTTCCGGACTTCAACCAGGTTGCAAGTCAAATCAGCAGTATATTTCAAGAGTCCGTAGACTTCTCCAGATCACTCGTCAGATCAATTCGTTCGTCACAGTCTAGCCGTAGAGAAGCATTAAAATGCAAAACAGCCTTGTATGACGAATATTATTTCAAGCAATCAAAGAAAAGAGCAGCAGCCTTAAGACAAAAAAGAGAAAACTTTTCAGGTTTAATTAATAAATTTGACAGATTTGGGCACAATTATTTGTCGCCAAAAAAGATGATAGAACGAAGCAACTCACCAAGACATTGTCATTCTCAGTCACCACAGCTGTACCGCAGAACAAGAGACAACTCAAGTTTTACTACAGACAATATTGATTGTAGTGAAAAGGCATTTGGACGCCGAGAGCTTATGTCAGTTGGTTCCGACGACTCTGGTTTTGAAAACGAATCAATGTTTAAGGAACTTTTATTCCCAAAACATAAAGATTCCATATCCGACGTGAGGCTGGGCACCGATCAGGTTCAAATTACCATCAACCATGAACAGAAAACAAATTTACTCTGTGTATCTCTCCATCGAGCAAGATTGACTTTCCCAAAAGATAGACAAATTTTCGCAAAATTGTGTATCCTACCTAACAACATTCAGAAAAAGAAGGGAAAACTAATCAATATAGCGAATACTAAGAAATGGGAAGAAGATTTTGTGTTCACTAAATTATCTATAGGTCAACTAGAAACGTGTTCTATCCAAATCAAAATTTATCAAGAAAGAGGTTTCATGAAGCGACCGCTTTTAAAATATGAAACGGTGGTTGCTTTCAAAGATGTGGATATTACCAACTTCCAAACTACTATTTTACCTTTAAAAACAATAACAAACCCGATAGCGGTCACTCACCCAGCAACACCTCGGTTAATTCATTCTTAATTGTGGTGACATTTGTGTATAGGCATTACGTGTTTGAGTAATACACAGAAGGCCATTGACTATGCTAGTTAACAGTTAAAAAAAAAAAACTCTCACATATAATATATGACGTGCCATCATTAGCAATGTTTGGACTCATATCTATTTTTTTTATTTTGCTGTTATTACTTGCAATATTGTGAATTATACGTGAATTATACTATGATTTTGTTGATTTTGAAATAAATATGTTTTTCCTAAAGTCTTAAAACTAATTCCTGAGTAAAGATCATTACATGTTTTTTTGAACACACCACGTTCTCAAAGTGGATGTAACACTGAGAGATACAAAAGCGATAATTAGGTAATATGATTAAAATGGTATGGTAACAGAGTCTTAGTTACGAAATAAATACCGGTATGGCAAGGAAGTATTCTTATACTTTAGATTATCCTTTGAAAAGTATTAAATTCTGATGCTGTTTTGTAATTATCCACTAGATCATTCCATAAAATTGTATTTGATACTCTGTTAGAGTTTTATAAATAAATTCATACGAATTAAAGTTATGTCTGGTTCTAATGTCAGTATTAAACCTTTCAAGATTCAGTGCCAATTCAGTATTATACTTAGAGCTAAGAATTAATTTAAAAGATATCTTTTGTTGCCTATGTTACATGTCGGCCGATGCAATAGCATGCGAATACCAAATTGTAGAACAGTAATCCAGATTATGGGAACATAGATTATAGAGAAGCATTTGTAAAAACAGAAGCTCTAAACTTTTCAGGTAAAATCTTTCTTAACTGGCGCAATTGAAATAACTTTCAAATTTTTGCAACGGATTTTACTTGAAGAGTCCATGAGAGATTTTGATTGACAGTAACACATAGTGATTTAAAGTTTTCATTTACACTCAGGGTTCAAAGGGTTAAAGATGATGGAAAGCCAGTATTGTGGATGTCCAGGAGGGAAGGGATGAACTTGCCCACTACCAGCCATTCAAGATTTCATCAGTTCCAGATTTACATCAAAGACATCATGTCCAAAACAATGGAATATTTCACTTCAAGAAGTAAAATTAAGTAAACCTGTCTGCCGCAAACGAGAGGAACCAGCTGAGCTGCCTCAAGAGGTTGGGAGCTGAGCTGTTTCTCCCGTGTGCGCTGAATTTTTAGTGAAATTTCTGCCTCGAGAGGTGGTGAGGAAAATATCTATCTTGTTTGATATTTTCTGCCTCAACAGGCCAGAAATTCACCGTGTGCGGGCGTCTAAGCTGCCAGCTGAGCTAGAAAAAGTAGCTAACCAATAGAAACGCGTTCACATGGTATCATAATGGTAATGATGCAATTTTAGAAGATCAACTTGCTGAACATGACTATCCGTGTCTATACGCTGTTTTTCTACAGAATTCCGAAACAGCAAAATGAGACCATTTTGATCACTTACGTGACATGGCTGCAGTCCGAACCTTCTTCGGGTGTTTTCGGAATTCGTCGAAGATTTTCTAGTGAGACAATAGCTCGGGCGAGAGCGCTCGTCTGCGGTGAAATACGTAATGAGAATGTTGCTCAGCTGACAGCCTCTAGAGGCAGGCAGCTCAGCTATGTCCTCTCTTCTACGACAGGCTTAAGTGACCTAGAAATGGTACCGAATAATGTTCATAGATCATGGATGATGAAGTGAGTCGCCAATTAAAAAATATGCACCAAACCAATTTAGTCAGATAATATAAATAATATTTACCCCTTTTTAATGAGATCAAATACTCCTCTTGAACCGCAGTTCATTACTGCATCAACCCAACCACCAGGTGCCAACAATTTGACTATACCTCGTCTGAATAAATAAATAACAAATACTCCAGAGAATTCCATAAGAACTGAAATATTTTAAGGGGGCGATATTCAAGATCAACGGGTCGGTCAAAACATCGGGTGTGTGTTTAATTCATTTAGTGAGTACGTGATTGAATAGTGGAGGTACAAGGGGTATTCCCACCCCACCCCTTTCCCAAAAATACGTGTCAGAATGCACCAAATCAACTCATTTTTTTCAATCTTAAAGAATGTTGAGTCAGGTGTCCGCAAAAATAACATAAATTCATTGTCCAAAGAACTGAGTTCGTCAAGATAGCATGTAATATTGTATATGTTTTGGTCTGTTAGTAAAATACTTACGCATTGATAGCTATAATGTAAAGAAAGTGAGGAGCCAAGAGTTTAAACAATGGATGCGATCCAGATAGATTGCGATGAGTTGCTACTGTTACTCCTTCCATTAACAAATGAGTATAACCTGGAATGACGATAATTAAAAGAGTTCTTCAGAATAAAATGCCGTTAAAGTGAGAGTGCTCATCATGATATTAGGAATAGGTACTACATCTCCCTGATGTGTATTTCTTATTTTTAAGATGTTCTAGGAAATTTCTATACCCTATTAAATGGCAGATAGGTCTTATTTACGGTGTTATCTCACTATCAATCCAGCTGTGAAATCTGACAATTGGCTACTTCCTGCTAAAGAGATGCAATAGAAGAAAGAAAGAAACAATCCAGTGTATAAGGATAACAGCTGGACCTCGGTCAAAGCCCTTGATTGATCTTTCCCGAATTACCCTTACCCATTAACAACTGGCAAAATAATTACTGAACACAGATGCCAAATCCAACGACCTAAGGTGTCAAGGAATGGCAGATCTTAATATGTTGTATGCGATAGAGACCTGTACCCGAGCTTGTACAAACACTCCCTTTAGCTATGGGACTAAGAACTTGTTCTGGGACATTGTGCTTTAGGATAATTAAGTTAAGAACATACCCAGATGAGCTAGAGCTTGATGATAAGTACTGTCGGCATTGTTAAACCACATTTTAGCCAGTAACCAAGTATTCGGGTGATCAGATGGTAAAAACACCTTAAAAATGGTAAAATAAAAGGGGACTGTTGTCAGAAAAACTTGATTATAAGATCAAAAGGGCTGTCGTTAGATCCTAACTTAAGTGGTCATATATATATATAACAAAAGGCAAATTAAAAAAACGGAACAAAAGTTTGGCCTTATCGTAATTAGACTGAAAGGACCCTAAATTTATTTTTTTCGTTCCATCTCTGTGCGTCAAAACTACATCGCGATTTATTTCTGTGCATCAAGATTAATTTGTTGCGTCTATAAATCTACACATTATCAATAAAAAAAAAATGAAAAAGGGAAACACTTCTTTGCCTGTTCTCTTACCGGATTCTTTGAGCTAGGTTGTTGGTATAATTGTATGGCTATTGGTCGTAGTTGCTGATTGTTGTCCACCATAAACAACGCAATGGGTGCACAGACGTTAAAATGATCATATACATTTTGATTTTTCTCTTTACGGACGAATTGGTCTGGTTTTGTGTGGATTCCTTCTAGAATTTCAAAATCGATGATAAATAGACGCTTGTTGTCTAATAGGTACTGAAGACTGTTGCCTTCGAGAATCGGTTTCAGCATCTCTTCAGTAACTGCCAATCTGAAATAATCGAATTTATTGCGTTTGCGGATTGATTGTAAAGGATGATTGTTTACTACCTCATTCTTGAAAGAAAAAAAACAGCCACAATAAAACACGACAGAAATATGACAAATTTTCGAGGTTTATGCTAAAAGTTTGAATAAGCTAAATATTTTGGGTTTTTTTCGTATTTTTTCAAAATATAGCCATTTCGTATGGGTAATAAATTAAGATCACTTCTGAACATATCAAAAATAAAAAAAGTTACTTTTCTGGTATGGCTGTACACAATTCTATCACACCACTGTTGACACTTGCAATTCTTTGATTGGCAAAATACAGGTCATCTTTCCAGCCATCAGCTCCCTGAAAATATATTTTTTTTTAAACCTCGTTATTTAATTACTGAGTCGCTATTGCAGCACTTCTTGATGCTACCCGCACATGATATCACTTATAGAGTTTATACGGGCATAAATGCATTTTTATAGTTTTTTTCATGCAGAACATGGATATATGCCTTTTTCAAAAAATTATTTCAGCATTACGTAGGATAATTTGATTTTGATTAGAACGCGTGATGTTCATTTTCAATGATCAGATCTGTGATGTATTCGAAAATGAGAAGGTTTTAAAGGGGGTATATGTGTCCTTGGAGTCATTACTCCAAGATGTGCCCGGCTGATAGAACTATGACTAATTTTTTTTTCTCCCAGTGTTTAACAATATATGGTGTAAATATTGTCAATATAGTTTTATTTTTTCTATTAGTGTCAATAGTGGAAGTGAGAAAGAATGGAAGAAACAACTTTTTTAAAAGGATAATAACAACTAAGGATCCTTTCTACCAGTTGCCCCTGGGCAAACCTCTTGGCATTGATCTGTTTAGATTATCCATTATTAGAGCCATATACAATACAGCTGAGTATTCTGGAATTATGAGTGAAGATGAATCAAGATCGTCGGATTTTGCTCGAGATTTGCCCGATCGAGATTAAAACCCACAACCGCCATTTGTTCGACGTAACTGAGTAAACGACGTCTTGTAGATAACCAATGACTGTGCTATAGAACCTCACATTATTCGGATTTAACCCTTTAATGAACAGTTCAATTCTAAAATTTGTTCGCCATTGACAATATTTCTCACATTTCATTACGATTATGATATAAACACTCGATCTTGAGACGAGAATAAAGGTATCATGTTTTCTAAGGACTCTTTGAATAATTCCTTATTCTAATCGCACTATGACACTATTACATTGGATGAGTGTTTTGTTTGTTGTTTAGATGGCGAGTAAAATTTTGAATAAAAAAGGGGTTATTACAACCGCACAACCATGCTAGTTATGATATCATTGAGTTGAAATAGCAGTTAACTGCTTGATGAAAATTTAAACATTGCTTCTTGTTATCCGAGCAGTGTTAACAATTTTAGGGAAGACAATTTAAAAATATATCTTTAAAGGCCCTGTCACACATCGACGATTATGCAAGCGTTATCCCAACGTATGAAGAATTTGTCGATATAATACGCCATGGGTAAGTTTTGTATAAGTCAAAGAACGTCGACGTCCATCATACCCGGGGCACACTTAAAGCGTATTTCTAATCTATGAATGACGTGCATTGAACCTAGAAAAATATATTCCATATCATTTTGTATTTTATTATTGGGACATAAAAGGGATACACTAACCAAAGATCCTGGTCAATAAAATATTATGATTACCCAAGCCTTCCCAGATTGGCGAGACAATGAAAGGAAATGAACTGGTGGTTTACGTCGTGCTTTTCTGCACCTAATTTAGCTAATGAAAACGGATAACGCCATGCATTTTTTTAAGAACTATACTCTTTTTTGATTGTCATCTGACGAGGGATCTTTAACTCGTATTACACTGAGTGGACTTTAAAAGTAAATTATATATGTGACATGAATGTGAAGATATGTCATGAATCAACTATAGGCTTCCTTTTCGCTTTATGACATAAATGCACTGAAGCTTTTAACTTAGTCATTATATTGAAAACAGTGAATTGTTGTTTGTGCATGTGAATGTTTACCTTCTTATTAGATGTGTAATATTAAGTCGCGATGACAGGAGTGGCACCTGACACCTGACACCTGATTCCACTTTTTATTTTGAATAGGTCATACTAATATATATTGTCAAACTGTTATTTTTGATAAGTACTTGATTTTTTCGTATACAAATACAATTTTTTGGAATGTTTCTGTTCTGATATTATAGAGAAAAAACAACTTCAGGCTAGCATCTATGGAGTGTCCGGCACATTCGAGTCAAAAATATATTCTATACATCTTAGTTACTCACCCTTGGTAGATGAAAAACGCAATCGCTGTAAAGATTTTTGACATCTTCAACCTGGTCCCACGGTCCAGAAAAGAACTTGACAATTTTACTTTTAGTCAAGAGATCTGCTTTCGTACTAACAATATCCCACTGAAATAGATAGTGGTTATTAAATACACATGAAACAAAAGTAAGAGAGATATATAAAAGTTAGTCGAGATATATCAGTTATGAGTTACATAGATTACGTAGATTTTAGTTTTTTCAAATTTTTACATGGTTATATATTCGGTACCGGTTATCATCCAGACCGGTAATCAAATACTTAAATTTGATTCAACCTGTATGACAATTTCCATGAATACTAGATTTGGGCACCTTGAATACATGCGAGTTGCCACATTTTACAATTTACCCATAACAATTTTAAAATATAGAAACGAAAAAGTACACAATCTGTCTACATACAAGTCGGTCTTAAAAGAATATCGCCGAAGAGGATACGTTTAAAACAAAGTTGTTATCATTAGGTTAAAACTATCCCTAGGGTAGGTATCAAAGAATACGATAGTGTACTTCGTAAGACCCCACTGGTCACATTTTCTGCAGATAGAGAGAGAGAGAACCATGTAAGCTGTACCCTTGGATGGCGTTCATATATGGCAGACTGTAGCTTAAGATCGGAGCAGAATTGCTGCCAAAATTTAATTTAGGCACAACACACTATCATTAATATTTGACATAAAAACACTTGTATTTCAAAAAAGAAACGTAAAGCCTTACAGAATTACTCGAATATGTCACAGAGTTACAACGTACCTTATAATCAAATGAAAATTGCTCATCTGGAGGAACAATCTTGACCTGAAATAAATTAAAACATTTTTTATTTTCATTAATGTTTTGATTTTTTAATGAGGTTAAAACTGATACATGGCACAACACATTTCCAGGTCAAATGCCAGTTATTATAACTTGTTATTATATATATTATTAAATGTTTTACATGAAATGAATGGAGTTTTACGTCCTTTTCTGCACAATGTTGGCTAATGAATACGGGTAACACCATGCAGGGTGCATTGAGGGAAAAGCGAGGACATTGGCATTTGTCTGCTCCTTTTCGATTTCCATCTGTCGAGGGATCTTTAACGCGCGCAAGCTTTAGCCCACATGGTCGCCTAGATTTATTGTCCAATCCGAACTTCTAGACGCTTTTTCTATGTCAGCCCCACTTACCTGCATTACTGATAGGGGGAAACCGTGTTGAAAATTCCGAAGGTAACATGCCTGGATTGAATCCTGAACCTTCAGTTTACGAAGCAAAGCGTCTTACTCAATGAGCCACTACTGCTTCTGATAACCTGCGATTATTATTCTACTTGCATTTAATCCAAGTAGAAATGGATGATCTCATGAGCCATATTTCATGCTTGGCTTGGCCAAAACCGGTCAAAATTAGATGATGGACGTATTAAAGTCTTCAATTTTTGTCTGAATTTTTGTTCATCGATGATGTGTTTTATTTCGGGAGAGAGACAGTTTGTCTTCTAATAATACTGACTCAGATGGTTCAGTTACAACAATCTTTTAATATAGATGTCTGATTGATATTGTGGATGTATTTACCATGCCTGACAAGTTATAATGTGATATGGTGGCGAAATGAAGTTGTTTTTCATTTCAGTTATTTGTACAACATGATTGATATGGGTCAGTTGTTTTATAGCCATTTCAGAGTGTTTTGAATAAATGCGCTATTTTTCGTACAAAGAAGTGAAGCGACGAAATTTGTTCATGGTTGAAATGACCTTTACAACTCGCTTTATAGGAAAATCCAATTAAATTTATTAGTGTATTAAGGTAAATATATTAATAAACACATTAATATAAAGTTAATTCAATGGTGAACAACAGTTCAACGAAACTGTGCATGTACGCGTTGTTTATTGGGAGTCAAATATTAGGCTTTACAATGCAAAACTAAGTAAATACATGTTCATGAATAATAACGATAGTGACTTCCTCCTTTCCAGAATCACTTGATATGCCTTCTTGTAGAAACAATTACAATTGATATGCTATCCTTTCAGAACAAATTGATATGCTACCCTTTCAGAATTAATGATATGCCTCCCTTTCAGAATCAATGGATATGCCTCCCTCTCAGAATCAATTGATATGCCATCCTTTCATAATCAATTGATATGCCTCCCTTTCATAATCAATTGATATGCCATCCTTTCATAATCAATTGATATGCCTCCCTTTCATAATCAATTGATATGCCTCCCTTTCATAATCAATTGATATGCCCCCCTTTCATAATCAATTGATATGCCATCCTTTCATAATCAATTGATATGCCTCCCTTTCATAATCAATTGATATGCTATCCTTTCAGAAACAATCACAACTGATATGCTATCCTTTCAGAAACAATCACAACTGATATGCTATCCTTTCAGAAACAATCACAACTGATATGCTATCCTTTCAGAAACAATCACAACTGATATGCTGCCATTTCATAATCAATTGATATGTTATCCTTTCAGAATCAATTGATATGCTATTCTTTCAGAATCAATTGATATGTTATTCTTTCAGAATCAATTGATATGCTATTCTTTCAGAATCAACTGATATGTTATCCTTTCAGAATCAATTGATATGTTATCCTTTCAGAATCAACTGATATGTTATCCTTTCAGAATCAATTGATATGCTATTCTTTCAGAATCAATTGATATGTTATCCTTTCAGAATCAATTGATATGTTATCCTTTCAGAATCAATTGATATGCTATTCTTTCAGAATCAATTGATATGCTATTCTTTCAGAATCAATTGATATGTTATCCTTTAATTTAACAGTAGATAGTTGCATGTTGAAAAATTATTGAATCATAACCAGAAAACGCGCTCTTTACATTTTTTTCCTGAACTTCCTGCTTTTATAGGCAAGTAAATTTTATTTTGTAAATTGTTATTATAATATGTGGATTACAGGTGGTCAGTTAAGTCAAATATAAACAAACGCGTTCTTAAAAGCAAGCACAAAGGTGTTTTTTATGAATACCAGAACTATTATGAGATTATGAGGTTGGCAGTCCTCAAATGTAAAGCTGTTGCTCACCGGACAATTGCTCACCAACGAAATGAAATAACGGACAATTGCTCACCCAGCTTTATAAGAATCGTCCTAATTACCAATTTTATAACATATTTCTTTTCTGTTCATATTCAATTTTGAAACCTCACTGCTCACTGGAGTGAATCGGTGCATGGTTTCTTTTCACAAGTGGTGTTTAATGAAGGTGATCAATCCAGATTCAACTACCGTCATCAGACTTCGAGGAGGCAGCAATCGTTGCTGACACGGCAACTAATGCTGCATTTATTTTTGCTGGAATGATTTTCCGGATCATGTGGTAATGAAGGAACGTTCGAGAAAGCACAACAGATGAGCTCGGTTTGGATTCTTTGCTGTCGTTCTTTGACAGCACAGACGCGATAAGGTCATTAAAAATGTGACGATCTCTTGGTATGAATAATTCCCTATTTTAGATAAGCGCTAAACATTGAATATTAAATTTGTGGTGTGCAACTGTCCTTTTTCTCATTTCCTTAGTGAGCAATTGTCCGGTGGTCCACACGCCGTCCAATTCACATAACAACGATCAAAACTATTTAATTTGCATGCACTACTTTAAGGGAACAAGAAAAATAATGTTTCTTTACCTGCACTGGCAACCCCTTTTCTTTCTGACAAATTTCATATTGTTTTCTTTTGTCTTCCAATTCCATTTTTCTCTGGTCCAAATGTTCGTCAAGTTGGGGAAGTGAAGTATCTAAATGTTTGATTTTATATCTAAGTTTAGCCTTAATCCATCGGAATATTGGAAATTCATATACTTGAATATTTTCTCTGTCTTCAATGACAATTCTATCTACATACCAATCACTCAATAATCCTGCATCATCGCGCCAGATTTCAATCTTATCTATTTTCCCTAGTGGTGCCAACTTTTTCTTTCTTATGTGAAACACATCCATTCGACCCCGTTCAAAATCATTCCGAAAAAAATTATCCAAAACTATATCCTTTGTACATCGGCCTTGATTATCGTGCAGGATTATTTTCACGCTGGCATCAGTTCCAGCGTACTTTTTATCCCCCGTCGAAACGTTGATATACAGATCACGAAGTTCCTTATGCTCCATGATTAACTCTGTTCGTGGGCTAGTACATTCACTTTGTGACTTCTTATCTATGATAATATAATTTACAAGAATTATTTACGTCTGTGTATAAATTCTAAAAAATAAATTCAGTCAACCGATTCACTCATCCATATAATCAGGTCAAGTATATTTATTCTTTTTTTTTAACTCTTTCTAGAAGATATATCATATTCGATCAAGACAGTTATGATATAAATGTACATTTGGGTACAGTTTATTAAGTGGTAGCTAAAGTGGCAACGACCACACTGAAAATCACTTGTTTGCTCCACCATACCTGTTACTTTAATAAAGATTATAATTTGGTTCAAAACACCACAGACGTGTATAATGATAAAATGAATGGAGTTTTACATCCTACTTTTCTGCGCCATGTGAGCTAATGAAGACAGGCAACGGCATGCAGGGTACAATAAGGGAAATTTTGCCAGGATAGCGGCATTAGCCTGTTCTTTTTCGATTTCCAACTGTCGAGGGATCTTTAACGTGCACAGCCTCGGTTTATTGTCCAATCCGAACGCCTAGACGCCTTTTCCATGTCCGCCCCTCTTACCTGCATCACTGACAGGGAGAAACCGTGTTGAAAAATCCGAAGGTATCATCTCGAACTATGGTTGTGTATAAAGATAAAGCTGATTTTATGATAGGATGATATAGCTCGTCTGCTTCATTTCTTTCTCTCAAAAGTGTCCTTATTATTTTAGTCATTAGTTACTAGAAGTACAATTGTTAGCAAAGTCATATCTCACAGTTGTGAATCTTATGTTGCATCTCAGATGAGAGTGTAAACAGAGAATGTAATTTGAAATCATTTTTAATGATATAATCGTTTCTGTTAATTTTTATTACAAGATGCCTACCGAAAACTTCATATCACGTAATAGGAACGTCATTTCTGATTTGGAGGCATAATAACACAATTATGTAGTTGTTAAAATGGGATTATCAATAATTTTTTTTATACAAAATCACCTATGACTTCATTTTCGACTGCTACGGAGTAATTCTGATCCACCAGCTGTACGTATTCAGTGAGAACATACCTTCTGTAGTGTTATTCGTGATTTGAGCAAGTATTCACCTTATGATCTGTTTTCTTGGCGTGTTTTTTAATATCCCCACGTCAAGCTTGACCTATTTGTTACTTATTTTTTTCTCAAATTTGAACTGAGTTTTAACGTGTACCATTAATGATTTCTTTGGGATATTACTGGGCGAAATCACAAATACAAAGCGCGTAGGAAAAACAAGCTAAAGCTGAATTAAACCATGAAAACTAAGCCGAATTACATCTCGAAACAGTTTTCTGAGTGAGTATAAAGTAAACATATGGCATCCTGCAAATCTTCTTCGATCATATCACCAGTCTTACTAAAATGAGACCAAACTTACGTTCCTTTTTTTTTTATTTAGCCACTACAGTTAGTGTCTAAAGACGGACCTCTTGAACAATTATCCGTTCGATAACACCAGCAAATCAACTTCCTGCAATCTCAATCGCTAATGCAATTGAGACTACAGTTTCCCTCCGTTTTCCATATATAGGTTCGAAACTGACAACGTTTCGATGAACTATGTTTGAGTATTGCCCAAAACGCGGTCAGTCAGTTTGTTAGCACGATGGAAGCTAAGGTTTTCATCCGATTTCAATGAAACTTGGCATGTAATTGTGGATGGTCAAGTTCGAACTAAAATGTTGTTTACAAATATTTTTTGTTGTTGTCAATTTAATCAATCGTAAGAGTTCGCCTTGGGTATATATAGTAAATAGCCGACGGAAAAGCACATGAAGTATGAGAAACACCCGAAATTATTGCTGTCTAATCCGGATTAGAAAAATGTTATCCGGATAATCTGCAGGGAAAGTGGGAACAAACCATTGAAATATTAGTTCAAAATTGTTTTAATCAATTAATCTATTCATTGATCCCATTTATTTGAAATGAAATCGTTAAATATTCATTGTTTTTATTGTACGTACACAGAGGTAGTCAAACTTAGAAAATATAAGTTCAAGTTGAAGCCATGGCTACCAAAGTGAGTAAGTGAAAAGGTCGAAATCAGACGAATCTTCACAAAGTCTGACTTAACGTAAAGTCTGACATAGAGTTAAGTCCGAGCGCTGCATACAGCCCAATCAGTATTCCTAATACATCATTATATCATACAACTTTAAGACAATGCAGAATTATGTTACTGCTGTTAAGAGGGTTTTGATCTTTTGTCGACGTCAACAACAATATGCTTCCATATTACGTGAGGGCATATAAAAATCCATAAAGAATCGTTGCTTGAAGAGTGAGCAAAATTTGCACTATATGGCTAATAGAGTGATTACACTAAGCTGGAAATATTATTTTGGTCATCATGAAAATCGAGAGGGATCATTTTCATTATGACATTAACCCACAAAATAAAAATCAAAAGAATCCATAAAAAAATTATCTGTAGAGTGAGCAACAGTTGCACAATAGAGTGAAAACGCAAATTCGGACACGATATTTCGGTGCAAAATTACCAATCAACACGAAAATCGATAGGGATCATCTTCATAATGACATTAACCCACAAAAGAATTGTAAAGGATTGTAGCCTGTAGAGTGAGCACGAGTCAAATGTGAACGGACGGACGAACCGACGGACCGACTAGAATATACGACCACTTCATAATGTGAGCGCATAATAAAAATTGCTTTCCAACTACCAATATCAGCGTTAACCTGTTTTCTTGTCATCTGACAGGTTCAAAACTATAGAACATAATAAATTTAACATACATGTATATCTATATATATATAATATGAACAAGAAAATCGTCGCAACTGCATTTAGCAGTATCAAGGTCAACTATTATAAATATGTAGTACGCGTTGAATATAATAATATTGCTCGGTCATCCGTTCATATATTCATCTAGTAAGAATGTTAAACGACTTATTTGTATAAATCAAGAAATTAATATCTAGAAAGAAGGTAAGTGATTCATATCTATAGGAGAGAAAGTTAGATCCGATTAAGAAAATTTAAGTTTTTAACAGTTCGGAGAACTGTCGGCCCAGACCTCCTCAAACAACAACTTTTTATATATACGATAGACTTCAGTTTAATTTGGGATCATAATGATTCAATTCTCGAGACTTTTTACATCCTGTTAGGAGAGTGACAAAGCCACAGGAGTAGACTCGATTACTAAGCTTTATTCATTTGCAGATAATCTATCGCCAACTTCTAGATTATAGAAAAATTATTTTCATTTGTTTTAGGCTTTATTACAGATTATATAATATTGTTTGTTATTGACAGGCTTTCTTTGTGTTTTCTACTAATGAAAAGGATTGCGTTATGTTTATAGCTGCTTGATGTTTAGCAACTAATCCGTAATGAAAATATTCGGATTATAAAATTATTGCAGTTTCGAACTTGATTACTTAGCTTAAAACCTATTTACCATAAAAGAGTTTAAATATCGCGGATGACTTCGTGCAATTCATTTACAAAAAATAGACATTTTGATAGTTTGTCTTCTCTTGATTCTTATAATTATTCATAATAAGAAAGTGATTTTGAGGACAGTTTCATAACTCTAAGGTATGATATTTCTTTTTACCAGTTTTTTAACAGTGACATAAAGATATGCTTTCTTTTGTATCTTAATTTGATTAATAATTGCAGTAGTTATTATTGTGGCTCAGTGGTGGCTTGCTTGAAAACCTATTTTAACGCTTTAACACACCACCTGAAGTGAGTGACTTCCAATTCATTTCATTACAATTTACTCGAGAGTTTCTGCCCTGCGAAGCCGCATCAGACGCGTAAGACCGTATGTCACAAATGTACGTTAGAGAGAAATGTTGCGTTAGAGTTAGGTGGTCGAAAATAGAACGCTCAACTGCATTTATCCATTTCAGTTAAATTTATTCGATAACCGCTATAGTGATGTGTTTTCGAGTGTACGTGGGATATAACTTACTAAGAGGTATTTGTGAAATTTGAGAAAGTAGTAGAATGTTGTCAATAGATGAACGACATAATATCAAATCTAATGTTACTGTGTTTGATTAATGTTGCCTACTCACGGTCATTGTGCTATCTGTCCTTTCACAATATTGCTGAAGGTAAAGTCTGTCACTTTTATAAAAATGTTAGTTAAGTTGGTTAGTTGAAGTAATTTTTTTATGAGTTTGCATTTTAAATAAGAACACTTTCGCGGAAAAGAAATGAATATGACCCGCATTAAGACTGTAAGATTTATCCTCCCTGAATTAATTCAAGTAGTGAATAAAAATCTGTTGACATTCAGAAGACCATCTTACATTCCCTATATTCTTTGAGATCTCATTGGTTCATTGGTTGATGAACGCAAAATTTTCACGCGTTAATTCGATGAATGGTTTCGCCATCAGTGATCACTAAGGAAATTTGTAGTTCATCGGTAGCATGTTGCACGTGACAATAAAATGTAAATAATATTATATAATTTTAGAAAAAGTTATTTTTTGACGTCCATTTTAATGAAATTAAATACAATATATGAAAATGATGTAGTCCCGATTCTTACGTTTTCTTTTTGTTAGCACCGAAAAGTTGTCTGAAAGTGTGTCCGGTATTTTCTACCAAATAGTGTACAAAGACGACTTTCCATTTTTATTCATGCTGAACTGTTTCACCGGTTATGTCAAATGATAAACTAAATAGACAAAAAAACAAAATTGGATTTACTAAATGTAGACTTTTCTACTTTTTGATATTACACAAATTCATCACGGCAGTTTATGTTAATTTGTTCTTTCAGGATATTGATCCAAAACCATTGAATAAAACATACGCGCACTGACTGTTCTATATCACAATGGGATCCTTTATAAGTCGTATGAAAGCTGACTATTTGATCTATGTTGGAACTGGTGATAAGAAAAATGCAGGTACTGACGCCAATGTTAAAATTATTCTTGAGGACGAAGAAGGACAGAGGACTGGTGAAATTGAATTGGACAATTTCCTGAAAAATGATTTTGAAGCTGGAAAACTAGATGTGTTTCCTGTGGATAAAATAGTAAATCTTCGACTGGGAAATATTGCGAAGATAGAATTTTGGCGGGACAATTCTGGTGCTGGAAGTCACTGGTTTGTGGACAGGATTCTAGTGGAGAACAGATTAGTCAATACGACATTTGCGTTCCCTGTTTTTCGTTGGATTCAACCAAACAGGCATTACATTATTAACCACTTGGATACATCCTTACCTCAATTTGACACATACCGAGAACAGCGGGCCTTTGAATTGGCCGAGAAGAAGAAGGCGTATGAGTATACACAGAAAGCTCCTGGAATGCCGGTTCAGGTATGTAGTGAGTTCAACCATCGTAAAATCAGAATTTTAGCTTTAAATGAAATGACATGAATGGAGTTTTACGTCCTACTTTTATGCACCATGCAGGATGCGATGAGGGAAATTTTGCCAGGACAGCGTCATTAGCCTGCTCTTTTTCGATTTCCAACTGTCGAGGGATCTTGCTTCGTAAAGAGCTAAGCCTGTAAATCATCACTAGAACAATAATAATGATAAATAATAACAGTTTAATAAGTTTCGGGCCGAAGCCAAAGAACCATATTACATAAATATTTATAGATATGAAATTATTTACAAAAATATAAAGCCGGATGATAGATAATATAAAATACATTACAAAGATTACTTTTTAGAGTCACACATAGTTTAACTGCAAGAAATATACCTACTTTGATAAAGATTCTAAAACAACAGGGAAATTATTTGACAATATATTAATAAAAATCTTGATGAGATGAAATATTGATACAGGGAGCTTAATAGTTAACACTAAAGCCTCATAAATAGGACATATATACAGAAAGTGAAAATCTGATTCTATTTCGTTTCCGAGTGGGATATATTCTGCCAATTACCTGAGTCATGAACATAGCATAGGTATGGTAAGTATTAAATCAACAACTATCTTCCATTTATTGTACTGCTCGCTCATACGAGTAGAAAATAATTGCCTACAGTCTGCTTCTAAACACGTATAATTAAATTCTCTATATCTCTCTATTATGTTCTGCAAAAATGTACAAGACAAATATGCCACGATACACCACAACGGAGGAGGCCAATAATATGAAAATATTCAATAATGATCATTCAAATTAAATAAAACAAAATATGGAAGATGTTATGAACATATGATCCAATTTTTTTATCATCTTGTTACGTAGGTTACATACAAATTTGTGACTTACGAAACCCAAGTCACAATATCAACATTGGTTTAAAATTGCCACCAATAAAAAGAAAAATCACAGAAGCGTATCCGAAAGACAATACAATCTACATGAAAATTTCAAGTGCCAATATTTGGCTTGTTATCATTTGCACGACATCATGTCAATACTATGCATGTTTGTGTTTTACAGGTTAAAACATTACCAGCTGATGAGCATTTCTCTTTTGATTATAAGGTAAGATATATTCGCATATTATTATTGTTATCTGTTTAAATAGAGCACGGGTCAAATTCACAATTATGTCTAGATTGTAGTTAAGAAATATTGATATTCTGGAACCTGTGCCAATCATATCATCTTTCTCTGATCCAACCGGAAATGGAAATATTTTGCTTTGATTATTAAACGTCTAGTTTGCTCAGGCACGTAGCTAACTCAAGTGCGATGTATGAATTCTTTCATGCGACATTCAACTACATTATTCGACAAGTTTATCAAGACACGCATCACCAAAATAATTATGCATAAGTGCAATCAAGATTTCCGCTTTAACCGAGTGAAATTTATACAAAAAATGCTTTTTTATGTTGAGGGAGAGAAGAGCACGGAAGATTCTTATGTATATTTATTGATTTATATTTATATATAGTGGGATCTGTTAAAGAGTAAAATTAACCTGAAAGCCAAAAGTAAATTTGTGGCATTGACCTCTGGGCGCTGGAATACACTGGACGATCTAATCAATGTGTATGATAAAAATGATTTCCCTCCGCCGAAGGTAGGTTTTTATTTTACATCTTCATTGCTGTTTGACTGATTTATTTGAAGTTATTTCAGAGTCAACCTGACCTAGATTCTGACCAGAGTTCAACAGTGTTTTTCTGTGACCTGTTTTTCTGTGCATCCATGACTCATGGAAGTGTGAAGTTTGAGTAGTATCCTATTCTGAAAAGTGAAAGGAGATTAGCATATCGCGGTGTTTTAGTATCCTATCAAAACTTGCTTTTGCCATGCCCAAGATTGGCTTCACAAAAATTTTGATTAAGTTCTAGAGATTTCAATGGATAGAAGATCTACGCTATTTAGCCTTATTACGAGACCCATAGGAAAATGTGATCAAATTTTAAACTTGTTTAAAAAAAACCCACAAAATTATTTGGAATTTACACCCAAAAGTGTCGAATGAGCTGAAATTACCCTACTAAATGGTAAATTTAAATTTTTTTCCAGCATGCTAATGGATGGAAGGACGATGTATATTTTGGCAATCAGAGACTGGCCAGCCAAAACAGTACTTTAATCAAATTATGCACATCAATTCCAGAAAAGTAATATACATTTTTAAATTCATAGTTTATATTTGTAATTTCACAATACATGTAAATGTGAAATTTTGTATTTTCGTTTAGTTTTAATTGTGAGCTGGATGATTCTAATATTTCAAAAAATCTTCAATCTTAATTTTAACTTTTCTCCAGCTAATCTCGTCAGTCAATATAATTTCCTGTGTGCAATGAAGGAAATTTTACGTTTTTACAGGATTTTCACGTCATAACTTTTCTCGCAGAGCTAGTATTCCATACTATGAGGGAAACTGTAAATCTTTATTTCAGATTGGCTGTAACAGAAGACATGTTAAAACCTTTGCTTGAGGGAAACAGTCTTCAGTCTTTGATAGATGATAAACGTTTATTTATAGTAGACCTTGATATTCTTGAGGATTTAGACTGTAAAGATGGAGCCATTGTAAGTATTGCTAGACAGTTATTGCATCGAAATGCAAACTCTCCAAATAGCCGAAATTCGAACAATATCTTCACACTGGCAAGTCGGATAAATTGATGCTCATTCGTTTGCTTGTTTGAAGTATTTTCCTTTCCGTTTTAGTGTATGTGCAAATCGATGTATACGTTTGATTCAAGCGTATGTTTTCAGCCACGGGAACATGTCCTCAATTGATGTTTCATTATCCAACTACAATATATACAATATATCATGTGTCTTCACAATACACGACCTGGGCTTACATTGTTTCTGAGTACTCAGAGAATTATTTATAGCATATTCTACTCCATACTACCCGAGACTGTGTCTGGTATCCAATCCTGATTTCACTTTCTGTCGTGATCTGGGAACATTATTTTCATGCTTAATACGATTTGGGACACATCCAAATACTGCTTTACAGCTTTGGCTGGAACTTTACACTTGCTGTTGAACTGACCATTTCAGATGTGTAGCCCAATAGCTCTTTTTATGGTAGATAACAAGAAACAACTGAGACCAATAGCCATACAGCTATTTCAACAGCCTGGTACAGATAACCCGGTGAGAATTAGTATTAAATTGTCTCATTAAAGTTTGTTTTTAAATCCGGTTTCCTTCTGGCGTATCGACAGGTTGAAATTGATAGAGCATTTCTAGGGTGTCTAGACGTATGCGTGGGATGGAATCCGATACGAGATGCAAGCTATCTAGACATGACAGTAATGTCGCTTTTTCTGTCTCAAAAGTTGCGAAATTATGATATTGTTTTGTATTATTCAGGTATTTCTACCAACTGATGATCCTAATTTATGGATTGTAGTAAAGATGTGGTTTAATAATGCAGATAGCACTTACCATCAATCACTAACTCATCTTGGTAGGTAAATCCCGAAATTAATGAGAGCTGACGTGCTTGTTCCGCAAGCTCTGGGCATTTATTTTTTCCGGATTACAAAATAATTTAGGTATATATACAGGGTTATAGTCAATTTGACACTTAACCGAAATGGCCCAAAGTCAATATAACATATTGAAATAGTGTTATTTTTTGTCAAGTTGTTCAATGAAATCAAATATATAAAATATTATTTTGGTATCATTTTGACTTTTTCATAGGGCCATTTTGGATTGGTGTCAAATTAACTATAGGCCCCCATATACATATTATTTCATCTTCATCGTGGATTAACACTTGTATTTAGCTATGCCTTCGTGAAGGTTCTACAAATTTTATGTTTGGTACGAAATAATAGTTTTCTTTTTATTATAGGGTATACTCATTTAATAATGGAAGGTATTTGTATCTGTGGAAATAGAAACTTGTCCTTGTCACACCCCATATTTAAACTTTTGGCTCCACATTTTCTCTTCTTGATTGCAATAAATAAGTGAGTATTCTTATACAAAAAAGTTATTTTATATCATCTGAATATCATTGCATTGGCACTAGATTAAAACGCAAAGATCAATTGAAGATCCAATTGCATCATATCACGTGACTTGATAATGGGGATTTTTTTTTTTTAAACTGTAATACTAAGTTATGCAACATTATTGTTTTTCGATGAAACCTTTGTTTCTCACTGAAATGCCAAAATGCTTGGCCAGTTGTTTTCGCAGCAAGCAACACAATTCTGTGGCGAGGTATTATGGTGGAAACATATAAGTATAGGGATCAGGCCACGTATCCTAGTGCTAGGATGTCCTGAGTTCTTATCTTCTAACATTGACCCTAAGATCGTTTCGAGAAAACCAGGCCTGGTTCCTTGCTCTGTATTCTTTATTTAGTATTATCACACTATGTCCAAATGCCTACATAATAAGGGCAATGGGAAATCCAGAATAACCAGGATACTCTATATTAAATAACATATTTTTTAATTGGCACACCACTGAATTAAACTAACACAGTTATCATGTTCACTTATTCATGTATCGCCTAATGATTATGACATAGCCACTACTGCTCAATGAATAACATAGATGTTGTGATATTGCCACACGACTGAAACCTATGTCTATGCTGATGAAGCATACGCTTATTGTCAAATGATCAAACAAATGACATTATACGTATTTAGTCCTGAATCATTTATGTGTTGTCATTTTGTCAACGGTCTGACACACTTATACAGTCATCAAAAACATTTGTCTGAGGTATACTTATTAATCTATTATCTTTGTTCATTTAATTTTTTGTAGTCGTGCGTTACAATTGCTGGTCTCCGTGGGAGGTTGGGTTGATAAGACTATGAATTGTGGAGCTAAAGGTTTAGTTAATCTTATGACTAAAGGGTGAGTGTTTCCCTTCTTCCTGCAAAATCTAACTACCCATTGGTCAGAGAGGATCTTTTTGTATTGTCATTTCATCGATTCCAATGACTATGATTTAAATATAGTAATTATTAAATGAAATGTTTTCACAGGGGATTCTTTTTTGTAAACAACTAATTCATAAGCATCACATGACTATTATGGCATGATCACTGTTTCGGAATACTTATTGCTATTGAGGTTTTCAATAAAAATTATTTATGATATTTTTTTTATTAAGACATGTAATTTAATAGTTTATAACTTTAAAAAAAATCATGTTGTGAACTCATGTTATAGTGTGAAAAATTGGTCCATGGTAATTGATGGAAATCTTAAAGAAGATCTGAAAAAGAGAGGTGTAAGTCATATGTTATTTGTGGTCTATAACTCATGTCCTTTGTTTATGAATTTAAAGATAACAAAAAGTTATTGATATATGTATATGTACAAGTTTTGCTTTTAACGAGTCAACGTAATATTAATAATTATATGACTGAGATATCAATCAATCAATCCTAGTTAGGTAAGTCGGTATCTGTAATTTGATTAACACTATTTTTTCAGGTAGATGATCCAAATGTTCTACCAGGCTATCACTACAGAGATGATGCCTTACTCCTTTACGATGCAATACAAAATTACACATCCAAATATGTAGATTTATACTATGGTAGGTAACAACAAACTAATTTAACTTTAGGGTGTTTCTGAAGAAGGCAGTAAGCCGAAACGTCAAATAACAGGACAATAATAAAGTTTTAATTGGTTTCCCCTTTTTGGGAATTTGTGATATAATTTAACAAACTAATTGTTTTTTGAGTGAAGTCAACTGAGAAATTTGTGTGTCAATAGAAATGACTGTTTTTTCCTATCTGACAAACCGAATACCCCCTATTTTTGAGTATTAATTGATAATCGATCAGCAAGAGACAAAAGCGACAATTCCTTTAAAAGGCCTCTTCAATCTGTTTCTACAAACATTTTTTTTTATAATGTATCGAACCGTCTCTCCGGCGCTTGGATTTAACCAAGGAACATCTTTTAGCACCAAATGTTACTAATTTACCGACTAATTTTCAGACTCAGAAGAGACGATTGCTGGTGACGATGAACTGCAAAGCTTTGCTAAAGAAATGGCCTTAGAAATAGAAAAAGGTGGTGTCGGTATAATTGTAAGTATTTTTCGGGATATCCTGTTTACTGCTTACTTGAGGGGAACCATCTTTTTAAATCTTTTTAATCTTGATAAATCTTCATAATGTCCAAATAACGTGAACTTTTAAAGGAGGTTTTCTCGGTTGTGTATGTGTATCGGCGACACATATATACTTTTTTTCCATTACTACTTCTGTAGGTGATGCATTTCCATTAAAATTACCTTTGAGTGGATGGTTATAGCTAAATAATCAACTAATTTCAAAGGTTCTTTTCTGTAAAGGGTAAGGGAAAACAATACATATTTTCTTTTTAACTAAATTTCTATTATTATTTTGTAGGGTGTGCCTAATAATGGTGTGCTGAAAACTAAGAAAGATATAGTAGATGTGGTGTCGTGTGTTATATATACATGTAGCGTCTCTCATGCTGCTGCCAACTTTCCACAATATCATTTTTATTCCTTTCCGCCTAATTGTCCTGTTACTATGAATGGCACACCACCAAAAACTAAGGTAATACTATTAAGTCATAAACACAATTCTGTAGCTAAAAAAATACACAGATTTCTAAATTAATGAAATAGTTTTAGTTCTTTTTCTACTCTTTATTCAGCTATGTAACGAAAACTAGACTCGCGATGTCGCAAAAATCTCTTTTGAATTTTTTTATTCAAATGGATACCTAATGTGCACAGACCCAAGGTATATTGTTCAGAACGACTGGATCCTCAATGACCGACAGGAGAAATCAGCGCCTGTTTTATTATTTAATGGTCCTCTCTTTCTATCAAAAAGCTTTCAGCTGATATGTCCAATAGCCAAAAAAAAAAGTTTGAGCTAAATGTAAACTCGAAATGGTAGATGCCGACAGCGAGACTAATTCATTGTGGTTCATCCAATGTTGCATATTATCTCGTTTGAAGCAAAATATTTTTATCCCAATAATTTGATATCTAGTTCTAAAACACCATTCAATTCACAACATGTTGATTTAAGATATTTTAGCCTTACCTTATGTTTTAATGCTTTTGTCAGGATCCGGTTGATGCTGATTTTATGTTGAAGACACAAGCCGACAAAGATATTACACTAGATATCATGATTGTTACTAAACTTTTGAGTAATAGGGGTACTCAGAGTTTGGGTGATTTCGAGGTGCAATACATATTCGACCCAAATGCATTAAAACTGGTTTCCGAGTAAGTAGTTACCTGGTCATATCTTTACAATATTATCTAACACTTATACGTATTAATAACCAATATCTTAAACCTGGGTAGTGGATGTTACGGAGACAGAAAACTCATGTGAACTGCCGCCAATACCTCCTTTAGATCTACCAAAAGTTAATGATGTAGCATAACTACTGTAAAGATGTTACTGTTGCTTTCTAAGTATCAAGCATCCTGTGCTGTCATCATCATCACAAAAAACGGATGGAAAACAGATCATTATTTTCTTGAAGTTAGATCAATATTTCTTTATGGCATGACTTTGTTTCGTCAGCAAGAGTATTTTAGATTTCAAAAACTGATGCGTATAATTCACTAACCGAGTCTTCCTTTTACAACTGTTTCAGATTTCGACAAGAATTGAAGAAAATCAGTCAGACGATCAAAGATAGAAATAAAACCAGAGAGTTTAAATATGATTACCTTGATCCAGAATCTATTCCAAATTCCATTGGTATTTAAAAAAAAATTGGTGTCAATTGTTTTTTTGGTGCATGTTCGTCTCTATCACTGACAATCGCTTCCAAATATTTTTAATGGTAATCTTGTGCGGAAACACCGAAAATTGCATTTACTTTAAGAGATTCGAAAAAGTTTTTTTGTAATTTAATTTATAACGGAGAGTCTCGAAGCTGCTTCTTGCATGATTCTGATTTCCTGTTGGACGTCTGTGGTTCTTGTAATTTCAGAATAAATTCAACATATTATGATACCACTGATAACATTAAAAATTTGATAAAAAAAAGAAAAAAGAAATTATCTACATGTACTCCATAATAAAAATAGAAATATTAAAACGTAACCTAAAAAAACATGTTGTAACTCTGTGTCACTCTATGCGATATCTTATATACGTTGGTGCAAGTTTACTATATGTGCCTTACAGTTGCTATTGATGGTATTTATATATATTTATCTTAATCTGTATATTCCTTGCAATTGTTTTGATTAATTATATTAAATCTATCTATATTCTACACCCTTTTTGTCCTTCAAGTAATCATACCTACATTCTATTGTCTTGTGCGTCAGTGTCCCTTTTGAAAAATTTACATTCATTTACGTTTCAAATTTCCTATATCACCGATAACGTAGTGATGTGATCTCCGCTGATAATGTATATAAAAAAAATGACAAGACGATGCACCACATCTGTCTGTGTGATTATGTTGGATTTTTGTTCATCTGATCGTCTCATATTTTTGGTTAAGGTTCTCTTGTTAATAACAAGTCTCAATTAACCTCGCATTATTTTATTTCGCTAGCCTGGCAACTTGGAAGCGGGACTTAATGTTAATTAACAGGAGTTGTCTTGCCGGTTTTGTCTCAACTTTTCTTACAATAACTGACTATATTATTATTATGATTTTTTCTAAAAAGTACTGTGATTATTGAACATTATAAATTCTGCCTTCATCAACCTATGAACGAAAAAAAAAAACCTACACCCAAGCCTTAAATACCACATGAAACTGTGCTTTTACATAAACACTAAGTTTGTTTTCGCCTCCCTATTTTACATGTAGTATTTAGCAGCAATGACAGGTGGGGGTTCCAGCAAGGGTATGCGTACTGTTCTCTTCTAGTCACTTGATGCCACTTTTCATCATTAAATACTTACTTATAGATTCACAGTTCACAATTGAAATTGGAGAAATATATTGTCACCAGTTACGTCCCTTAATTGTCGCCAAGTCCCTTTTTTCTGTTGAATGCTCGTTCTTATTTGTGGTTAGTTAACTTAGTTAACTTCCATGAGCAAAACGCCATAACACTGCAGTGCCACACAAAAGATTTACACAAGTGTAATGGCGTTTTGCTCATGGAAGTTGACTATTTTCCAGCTTTTGTCGAGTACTAATTGATTGATTACCAATAAAAAGTACATCGGAGACATAAGTAAGCAGTCCTTTTTTCAAAAACACCAAAAATGAAAAGCAGAAACCTTTCACGAACAGATAAACAGCTTTGTTTACAGTTGTGCCCATTGGAAGCCTTATCTTTTTTTTAATATACGTTGACACTATTTTCTCCACATCGCCCATATTTTAATAATATTGACAGAACTTCAAGGGCCTGTGGTATGTTCAGTAGCTATGACGGATGTTTTGGGGGGTTTATTTTGAGAATAAAATATAGTTTTATTAGCGGTGCTTGTTTACATGAATGGCGGCATGCAGATACATTGCCTATAGGTTTACTGACAATTGAGATAATCAATGATTGGATATTTAGAACAATAGGTCAAAGGTCGTGGTCAGTTGGCTTAATAATCAACAAAGGCATTCGTCGTTCTCAAGCCAAGCACTGAATGTCCTATATCGTAACAACCCCCTTTTCATAAAGAAAAGTAAAATTAACGAAAATAGTAGTAGAAGTCACTGAACTTAATTTAAGGTGCCTTGGCTAGGCTTAAATGTCTGGTTCTTTACTGAGCACAAAAAAGTCTTATCTTGAGATTTAGGTAGCAAAGTCAGTAAAACGAGCAGGTCTGCGAACATCCCTCGTGTGTGTTTTACTAACTACATCCATTTTGTTTTAGAGATACTTTAGTAGGTATTTGTAATGGTTGGCTAATATCTGGTGATCAGCGTTGGCATTGTTAGCTTTGTGAGTTACATCTTTCATATTATTTGATGTGTCTTCCAGTGGTAACTGTAGTTATTCTATACCACGAGTTGACTCTATGCCTGGTTCAGTTCTTGTTTCGCACGAACTTTCTATTACATCTGTATTCGTGACCATCGATGTCTACCACATACGATCTGGAACTGAGTTGGCGTACACATGTACCAAGCTTTCAAGTTTTTGATTTATGAATAACATCTTTAATTTTTGACGCTATGTTCTCTGCTACTTTATCTACAACACTGGGTTTGAGCAGAGGAGCTGCTGTCGGAAGCTGCGTCTTGGTTCTTCGTAACACAAGTCGTTGGACCGGACTGCTGTACATTCCTTCTGCAGAAGTGTTTCCCCAATCTAGTATCCTCAAGTTTATATCTTGATTATCTTTCTTCGCTTTTTTTGATAAGATTCCTTGCAATCGTAACAGCAGACTCAGCCTTTTCATTTGATTGACTGTGATGATGTGATGGACTTGAATGTTCAAACCCATAAGTAGAAGCGAAATGAAAAAATTCCAGAGCAGTTAACTGTGGACCATTTATATCAGGAATACCATGACGTCCAATAAAGGGAAAATAATTATCAAACACGTCTGATTTTTAACTTTTCGTCACGAATGACCAAAATCTTACACCAATTAACCCGCATTCTGAAGCTATCGCCTTCAGGAGAAGTGCACGAATGAATTTTGTCTGAGCTGATTTCTCGTGTGTGTGCCTGACCTAAGAGGAAAGTAGGCGGAGCTAACGTGTGCTACAACAAATCGCTCTTTTTAATCAAAACTCGTGACTTGCACGAGCTTCTATACATCGGATAAAACGGTAACGTAATCAATGCCGTAATACTGTCAATCATTCTATTTATGTATTTTGACTCGTAAGAACAGTGATATATATATATATTACTTATACTTCTAAGGATTTAATATTCGAAGATATAGGAGCAATCGAAAATTTTCTTTTGAATATTTGTGAAATGACAGAAAGAATTTAATTATGAGCTCAGAATGGTCGGAGAGTGGGTGTGATTAAGTAGAGGAAAACTGGTGCTTAGATCACCATTAACTAAATTGAGAAGAAACAATCTAGAACATCCGACCTAGAAAGACCCCACTACATCAGGATCGAAAACATATGCTAGGAAACCTCTATTTTTATTCTCGTTACCAATACAATAGTTCAACTACAACGTTTGTCTGTATTATCCGAAATGTGTCCAAGAAAAAAAGAACATTTTCCTTTCACACTATTTATTTGTTAACATTTTATATACTGATCGAGTTTGGGATATATTCAGGGTCTAGATTAGTGTAGGGTGTCTTCCTTGTCTTATTCCTTTCCTTTATTTCCAAGCTGATCTTTCTCAAATCCGAACGAAACCTGAAATATGAAAGGGACTGGATTAGTATTAGTGACTAGTAACATGGAATGAAAAAAAAGAAAGTTATAGGCACTGACTTCATCCTTCTTCCAATCTTTACTTGTGTTGTTTTTTTTTTAGTAATGTTCACCAAAGGGCGCGATGGTCAACCTGGTGACTAACAAAATTTCGGAACAACTCGATTTTCAAGTTGCTTGCAACTGGTGGCATTTGATCGGTTTTTATTACTATATTATATTCCGCTGTCATTTTCTTTTTTTTCCCGTTTTTATTTTCATTTACATTTTGCTTTGGGTTTCAATGGCTTTTCATTAGAATTCAAATAATACTTACTCTTCCACAATCTTTAAAGCACTGGGATCGTATATATACTGAACTTCAAAGTCTCCAAGACTTTTGGTACCCTGTAAGCTTAGTATTTTGGATACCACTAAAATATCTCTGGTGATGCTTTTGTTTGGTAGAGAATCCATTATAAAATCTTCTCGAATCGGATCCTGTTGTTGGTATAAATAATTAATTAATGGATTGATTTTGGTGACAAATGTTCATGAATATATATTTGATTGCTGTGTATTAGCTGTTATCATGACACATCACGGTCTCTTGCTTTCACAAAAAGAAATGAAATAAGATTGAAGCGTGGCCTGAAACCTAATGTGCTGCATTGAAGGGCAATTTGTTAAGACAGCGGTATGAGCCTGCTCTTCTTTTCAACTGCCCAAGATTCTTCTTTTTGCGTTTCAGCCCCTCCAATCTACATCACTGGGAGACGGTTTGTAATCGTCCTATGATGGGATGATGAGAGAGCATTTTACTTGCAACCCCAATGTCTCCTACCTTGGTTGATGGGGGTACACCTCTCATTGTAGCTGGATAGTTCGGAGGAAATGCATAGTTTTGATATATTGGAAAGTTTGTTGCGCAATGCATCACACTGCAAGTTACTATTACACTTGTAAACAACAAACTGATATCTTCTTTGGTCTTCAGCTCCCCGTCATTTGGCACACCCTATAATAAATATTAAGTGCCTTAAGAGTTACTCATAAAAACTAGGCTTCCCTGCAAAATGTACACGCAGTATGATCTGCAATTATTATTGTTAAATATTCGGCTTATCTCGCAATAGATCTATCTTGGAAATCAATTACATAAACTACTGCATCAAACCAACTGGATACATGTACTACAATTCCGTAAGTATATGAAGTTGAAACATATCATTAACATGTGTACCTCTTACCGGAAATAAATTATAATGAAAATATGGCCTTAGGTCTGTTTATTTACTCTCATTTTTTGTAAGGAACAACCAAACAGTCGGTCTATTGTAAAAATAACATCAAAGCTACTCACAAGAACACCAACTCCACCTTGTGATTTTGGCATTGACAGCTCTTTGCCAAGATTCTGCAATTCCCAATCGCCTGTAATTTTATCTTCAGAATCTGGTTTTTAAAAAAAATACAAATATTAATTTATCAGATTCAGATTCGAATTGTTTCAAGACACCACTGTTAAATAAACTTACTACCTCTTATTAACTTTTATTTTTGCATATGTAGATGGTCAAACTGCAGTACAAATTTTAAGACGTCCAAATTAACATAAAAGTCCTCTACAAGCTGCAATATGTGTATCATGTTAACTGAAGTGTATCAATAAATGTGGCGATCGCACTAATGAAAATCTTTGCTCGAACAATGTGCTTTGTATCATAAAAAACTAAACCTTGTTGACGCTTTTAAAGTTCTCTTTGTTTGTTCACAAGTAACTCACCATAATACAAAGAGACGTAATTTTCAACGTATTTCTGTATTGCATGATAAAGAAGTAAACTGTCGTCTCTAAAATGATACCCTGGTAAAATGTCTTGGTTCAAAACCTGGAAATACATTAATAGTTTAAAGCAAGACCGAAAATAAAAGTTTTTTCCATGTTATTTTATGTGTGTCATATTTCATAAATATGAAGATACCAAAAGAATGATGGTCCTTTTGTCAGATACATTATAATATAAAAAGCTTAAATGCACATTACTCAAAACTGTACGTTTATCTTATTGCAGTAATAATTCAACGGTAACGATTGACTTCTAAACGTTTAACTGATACGAGAAGTAGTATATACACAAAATATATCTTACCCCTCTTGATTTAAAATCGTTTGGTAAGGTACCATGGAGATCAATTCTCCATTCATCTAATCTGCAATAAGTGAATAATTCAGTCTGACTAAAGAGCGCAAACAAGTGTAAACAAGGATTGCAACAGTGTATCCCACAAGGACAATATTTCTGTATAAGCAGGCTTGGTACAATATAGATTTATTACCAGACGCCTTTCGACATATAAGCATTTTTCAATAAGAACTTATAAAAGCACTGCCAAATCACTTTATGCGACGTCTATGCTATTTTGTTTAGCATGAGCATGTTTTACATAGTCTATGCGAATTAAAATGTCATTATCCAGAGCCTTTTTAAGTGTTTAGCTGTATTTCAAACATAGCCTCACCCTTTTTCAATTAGTTTGAACATTCCTTTAGCACCAATATTCATAACCTTATCAACCCAGCCACCTTCGGATATAAGAACGTCTAGACCTCGTCTGAAATGAAATTCGATAAAATGAATCATCCTTTTTTAAAATATGTTCAGAAAATACTGTTTAATGTAAGAACGATAGCGCCTAAGCCATTATTTCAACACATGCCAGAACTTGAAAAAAGAATTTTGCAAACTAAAATAATCGACAAGTATCTTATATTATGTAGATATTCGTGCTTCCGATAACTATTTTGACGTCGGCAATTAAGGTAGACATACTTACGTGTTAATAGCAATGAGAAAAAGGAAATGTGGAGCCAACAGTTTGAACAATGGGTGAGATTGTGAAAGACATCTGTGAACTGCGATACACACACCTTCCATCAGCAGATGAGTAAACCCTGAAATCAGATAGCATGGGAAATACTGAATATTGTTCAGGAAATTACAGGCGTTCAAAGTAGATTTATAGGTATTCCAAAGAGGTTTTCTAGTCGTTAAATTTGGCACACTTAAGTTCCTATTTGCACCATCCGGCTTTCTGGCAGACGCCACTATCACAATCGTGGAAATATATTACGGGATCGATTGCATGTTATATTAATTAGTAGATTTTAGAAATTCTTGTTTATTTCGCAGCAGGAAACTTTTGAAATCTTTGGAGATCAAACTTATTTGAGGAAATATTCATTCATACCTAAATGTGTCTGAGATTGATGATGAGCCGCGTCAGCATTATTAAACCACATTTTAGCCAAGTTCCATAAATTGGGATCATCAGATGGTAAAAAGATCTGAAATAATCCAACAAAAATGTTGAATCTTTTGATTTTGTCGAGACAGCCCTCCCCTTTCTACCATGTATCATCAATTTTGGTTTAAATGGCTCTATCAACCGAAAGACCAGTTTGTTCTGAGGCTGTTTGGAATATATTTTAAGTCGTAATACCAAAGTCGCCTTGGGATTTCGAATTTGATTCGGTGGACGTCATGGCAATATCACTACCTAAGCACTACTTACCGGATTATCAGGATCTGGATCTTGATATAACTGAATGGCTATTGGTCTTAAATCCTGGTTTTTATCAATCATGAACAGTGCTATGGGCGCACATACCTACAACATAGTTGTTAAGAGGTTTTAAAACTTATAGCAATATATAATGAATACACAGTAACAAGACATATCTACAATTTATGATATAGGATACACAAATGTTAATTTCAAGAATTATGTATCATAACTATTTTTCAAGCGGGTTTTACAAATCTGAAATCATTAACGAAAGGTCCGTTAAATACACGTTAAGTAAGTATTCAGACGAAAGATTATTCGAATAACCGGTTCAAAGATTTAGCTGCTCGAGTATACCTACACAATAACCTTCTTTAGATTCCGCTTTCTCTAGAACATTGAAATCACATATGAAAATGCGATTGTTGTCCAACAAATACTGTAAACTGTTGCCTTCCAATATCGGATTTAACATTTCATCTGTAACTGTCAACCTAAATAAATATACAAACAAAACACAATCAAAGCATAGTATGTCGCCCATTACCAAGTTTTCAGTAATATGGCCACATAATTGCATGGTTAAATGATCACAAAAATTTGATCACAAGGTAAATTTATCAAAATTGTATGGTGGAAAGGTACATTGGTTACAATAACATGATCGAAACGCGATTTGACCACAGCAACATGATCAATGTACATTGGTCATAATAACAAGATCAACATGTAAAATGTTCACTAAACCTTATCACTAAGTAACATGACCATCATGATTATATCACTGCGACCAATCTACCATGTGACATATTAATGTGACGTTTGTTGCATACCAAATTACAACGAAACCTACTACCTGTATCATACTTTGTGACATTGCGATAAGAGTGCCTGTGACAAGTTTACCCTTAGACAAAATAACTGCTACCAAGATATTGTTGTGTCTAATGTTTCCTTTGACCATCTCCGTGTGGCCTAAAACTGCCATAGTAAATTGGTTATTTGCATTCCTGGCATTGTATATGCTAATTGAAAAATACAATTCCCTCAAGTGTTTTAGAATTATGAAATTAAAATCGAGTCTCGACAATATACGATGACAATAATTATATCTTACTTGTCCGGAATAACTGTGCACAACTTAATCAGGGAATGGTTACAGCCAGTAAGCCTTTGTCGTCCAAAATGAACGTCATCTTTCCATGTGTTTGCAGCCTTCAAAATACAATAGCAAGGATTTAGTTGATATGAAAAAATAGCCAGTAAAATACACAATATTGGATTAAAACTTTGCCTTCAAAATGAAATACAAGGGAGATTCGAGACGTGCCTCCTATTTTTCTACGTTAAATATGGCAAACAATAACTGAGGCTGAGGGAAATGTACCAGGACAGCGCAATGGCATATTCATTTTTTCTATGCCATCTTTTCCTATCCGAAATACACTGTCAGCCTCTACGACCTACCGACTGGAACCTGGAATCCACAGGTTGCAAGCTAGCATCTTAACACCATGACACCGTGATAGCGTTAACTGGTTATGAGATATACTATTCACAGATATAAGCAACTACTAAGATACTACTTCGCAGCAACATATTAATTCTTAAATCCATTACTTACCTTTGGTAACGGAAGAATATTTTTGTCGAAGAGCTTTTTGAAATCTTCCAGACACTTCCAACGTCCTGCCGTTAGAGCAGACAGTTTTGATTTGGCAATAAGTTTAGATTTCGTAACTACTATGTCCCACTGTAAATGGAAGAAAGAAGACGTGTTTAGCAGCGTAATTTTAAAAAAAAAACATGCAAGATTTTCATTATATCGCCAGATTTTGTCCTTACATGATATACCAGTATAACAAAAAAACAATATTATATAACACACTTTTTTAATAAGGTTGGGCACATAATATGTCGTTCAAATCTTATATGATATACCAGTACCATATGTTATGAAACTCTACGGTTTCAATTTTACATATCATTCTCCATGTGAGCTACCAAGTGTTGTCAAATTAAATCAATAACAACCATTACAATAATCGGGATTTAGTATAGGCTAACACATTTCAATTCTTGGATGTGCAGTGGCTATTTTCCAAACACATACTCAACCAATAACTTATTCACTTTTTTCTTTGTCAACAGCGTGAATATAGACGGCGTAGTATATAAACTTTGATTAATCTTACCAGGTAGTCGAATGAAAACTGCTCATCGTCTGGAATATTTTTGATCTTAAAGAGAAATTACCATCGTGAACAATACTTATGATCTTCTATTTAAGTTGACAATGATATTTTAACTTTTCTTTGGCAAAGTGAATCAAAGAGAATTAATACAATGGTGATTTTCAAAGAAGAATCACTTTTAATTCGTATTTTCATCAAAATCACCGCCAAAAAAGTAAGAAAAAGCTTAAATAATGGACAATTTTTCGAGTGATGAACGCAAACATTTACTTTTTTTCTGAATACAGGATGCACTTTTAGGAAAAAGGTCAATCCAATGTTGCGGCAAAATTCAAGATCTAAATGGTCTGTCTAAGACAAAGTAACAAGCTTATTTCATTTTCTTCCAATTCCAAACTACAATATGGGAAATAAGTAAGGCGTGTACTGGCTTCATTGTTATTAGTAGTGGCGGGTGTCGCTAGCGAAGCGGACCATGCTTACTCTTGCAGGATACACAACTATTCGATTTTTACCCCGAGTTTGCCATGCTTTGGACGAGATTTTGATTGACAGATTTTTTATTCAAGACTCACCTGAACAGGCATTCCAGGTTGCTTTTGTCCATATTCATAAACATCTTTAATCTCTTCCATTTCAAACTGTCTCTGTTTCCAATGTTCGTCCAACTGAGGAAGCGATGTGTCTAAATGAATAATTCTGTAATGTTGTAGAGCTTTAATCCATTTAAATACTGGGAAAATGTAAATTTCTTTACTCTTACAACATTTCACTGAAATTATGTTCACGAACCAATCACTTCTAATACCATCATCGTCTCTCCAGAATTCAATTTTAGAGATACTGCCATGGAGCATTGCGGATTGTTTATGCGGCACATGAAACACGTCCTCTTTACCACTTTCAAAATCGTCCGACCATTTGTTATCCAATTTGATTTCTTCACTCTGTTGTTCATTTTCGTCATGTAAGATGATTTTCACTTTAGCATCTGTTCCTGAATTTTTCTTATCCCCCGTCACGACATAAATGATATAGTCTGAATCTGGTTGACTACAACCGGACCCCATTTTCAAAACTGCTGTGAGTTATTAAGTATATCGTACCTTCCAGCTGTTTGTTATAGTGAATGATTACATATTTTCTTAAACATTTACCCGTTCAGATTATGTTGTTATATAAGGCAAATTAAGTCATTGAAATAAATTAAATAACGTATATTAACTTACATAATGTAATCAGATTACTACAGATAATCTTTTTCACGAATAATTTGTATATCAACACGTTTATTTCACACCATTTACTTCATGGTGTTTGAATTCAGTACATAAACGATGGGTTGTAATTTCAAAATTGAAAGACGATGAAGAAACTTTTTTTTTTTCTACAACGCTGACGTTAATTTGGTTATGGTAACGCTCAACACTACAAAATTTTATACAGCAATTCCATTTGTTTCCAGCCATGCCGTGTATCGGGCGTGCTTTTATGGGTATAAAGTAGATTTCCATTACGACCCCTTTAATTGCAGAGAAAAATGGATCAGATTATGATATATATCTATAATTCATAAAATGAGATGCAGGGCATGAGAATAACATTAATAAAAGTATATTATGATAGTATTGGAAGTTGAATTTTAGATGATGGATTGAGAGGTCCTCAAATAGGCCAATATGAAAACGTGCCTGAAGACTGCCGAAGATCAGGACTTTGGATTCAATCATCGTGTCCAAACCACACATCCATTCGTCATACTTCTTCGTTAATAAGACCATGTCAAAACCCGTATTCGTGATACTATGGGATTCAATCAGTCAAAACTGATCTCCTTTTATTTTTAACAACATTTGAGCTCGAAAAGTTATATTTTAATCTCACTGTGAAGAATTATTATTGTAGTGTACAATACATCACATTCAACAAATGGCACTGGCGTGAAAGCATTATGGTTTATCAATGGAAGAAGCCATTATGTGATGAGAATGTAATAAGTTATGTTTTGGTAGTGCAATTCTGTTAATAGATATTAACCCCCCAATGTGCATAAAAGTGAATTATGAGCACTTTTTTTTGGCGGAAAAGTGCCAAGAAATCCAGGTTTTCATGGATAAAACTACAAAGTATGGCAGATATGGAATCGCGGTTTGTGGCATTGCAAAGCTAAGATTTCAAACTAGTTGCAGTGTAAATTTCATCATCCTGTCTCATCGATTTCCGAAAGGTCAAAAAGGCGTATTTGAAAAAGTTGGCTATGGGCCATATTTGCCTCTATGGCCAATATGCATAAGAAATGTCAAAAATTATTTTCTGTTCTATTGCAGATATTTGAGTTTGTTTTTTATGATAGTCCATGTGATTATTGGTGTAAAATTTCAGCATTGTAGCTTTGTAAGTTTTCACGCACAAAATTTATTTGTGTTTCACCACTTCTTGTGCACCAATATGCAGACTGCATATAGCTAGTTTGAAAATTTAGAAATTTTGATTTGATTTCTTGTGTTTTTTGAAGTCCTTGTGGGTCTAATTAGTAGTAAAAGACCTAAACTTGAGCCAAAAAGGTGTATTTGAAAAAGTTGGCTATAGGCCATATTTGCCTCGATGGCCAATATGCATAAAAAATGTCAAAAATTATTTTCTGTTCTATGGCAGATATTTCAGTTCTGTCATGTCCAGATAGTCCTAGTGAATATATCTAAATATATTTAATTTGGAAAGGACCCCAAACATTGATGAAGTTCAGGGTAAATTGTAAATTATTTAAATTCACATACATATCACAAATGTCCAAAATTTGGGGTAAAAAATGTAGTTCTATCTAATTTTTCTCATTGACACTGTCATTTCGAAGGGTAATTTTTGTTCTTATCCCATCTCGCCTGTATTTGTTGCCATTGGCATTTCAACAGGCAATGAGAGCGACAAATTGCAAAGTTTCCCCCTCACTAAACCCCCCTCCCAAACTCACACACACACACACACACCCAGAACCCCAGATTTTAGGAAAATGAGGTAAAAAATGTGGACAGAGGTCTCGGGATTTCTCGGTAATTTTCGGAATGACCTCTGTCTTGAATACATTGTCGAGTTTTCCAATCCGTTTACGGAAAATATCAGCAATCCCGATTATAATCGGGATTTCTTGGAAAGTTTTGTATTGCTGCGTAGACCTCCGCCTTGAATTAAGGGACGAGTTGATTATTACTGTTCAAGGAAAATACCAGAAAATCCCGATTACATGAATCCTCTATAACACAATTAAATATATCATTAATTAAATAGAGTTCCGTACCTTTAATTACAATTCCATCTATCTCACTCTGTTCAGTTTAAATAGGTGTTGTATTCAGCCCTTTGCACTCTGTATAGTGCAGTTACTGCAAGGCTTTCGGAACTTTCAAAACGCACATTGTGAAGTGCCCTTTCTAACCTTGTCTGTCTTAGTTATTTTAGAACTCTAAGCGTCCAACATTTCGACAAAAAGGCGTGAACTGTTGGGGATATGGGCACGTTAGTCTAAAATCATAGGTAATCGGAATATAAGTTTATTGCTATAGTTAACACAAGGAATGACCGGTACAGAAAAGAGAACGGCCAACGATATTTTAATGGAAATTTCACAAAAGCTAGTTAAAACATTCTGCAATCAAATTGAAAAACTTCATTTTTATCATGAAAAATGGTCAACGTTGTTTTTTCTCTTGTACTAATGTAAAATTTCCTTCTTTCTATTGGATTTGTTGACACATCATATTATTGTGTTTTCATTTTACCCCTAAAGCGATCATTCCAACAGAACTGTCAGATACCTTCATTCTGTAACACTGCCATGTTGAAAATAACTTTTCTTTTTATTACTTATGATCTTTGCAATGGTGGTGTCATAAAACGCTTAGTTTTAGTGAAATTTGAAAAGATGCAAATAGATGATATCAGTATCCCCGATAGACATACATACAAATTCATACCTCTTTACAATCCCTTTTAAATTCGGCAAGAGGAATAATTCACGTCTTTCAAAACAGCTATTATGATTAAGAAAACTCTGTTTTCATTGATTAATTGATTAATTAATTCATTCATTCATTCATTCATTCATTCATTCATTCATTCATTCATTCATTCATTCATTCATTCATTCAGTAATTTATCCATTTAGTAATTTATCCATTCAGTAATTTGTCCATTTAGTAATTTATCCAATTAATTTGTTCATTCAGTAAATTATCATTCATTCATCGATCTAAAATATATTCGTGCTGATGAAATGTTAGCCTGCCGCCTTTATTATTAGATTCTTATAAACAGTACTACAATGTTGTGATGAGTAACGGTCATTATATTGATAATCTGAGATGCCAAACTTAAAACCAAAGGTTTATTACTTAAAACTTTAACGTTCTGAAAAACTAAACAAATCTGATCAAAAATTGATAAAATTCTAATATTTGGAAGTTGGTGAACCAAAGCTGTAAAATATTTTTCAACTTCGGGGTTTTCTGAAATAAAATGCGACACGGATTAATAATCGTTTTTCTTCGGACCACAATAATATTAAATTCACGCCCTTTGACCGCATGCAAATTCTATTGAGTCACACAGCACGTGCTAGACGATAAAACATGGATGCTAAAGGTGATGTGAAAATTATAGCAGAATTCTGTGTATTAAACGTCATATATAAACAGTTTTATGAAAGGTCAGTTAAAAACATTGTTAAATCGATTTTGTGACTTTGGTCTGCCAACACGAATATCATGACATATTCAGTAATATTTTCAATTTCATAAAAGTGTAGTCAGAACCGTTCTGTACTCTTTCGTGTTGATGTTTGTCAATCGTATTTATTTTTTATTATTAATTCATTCACACATTCTAACTTTCAGCAACATGTTTCGACAGAATGAGATGAGTGAATGTTTCTCGAATCGACGAATATCCTGAAAAGAACAGAGATTTAATCAGAAACGTTTTGACCTTTATTTTTCTTATTTCATTCATTCATTCATTTAAAAGGATAAATTACTTCATCTTCCATTTCGTACATTTTAAAAATATAAACACATCTCATTCATTCATTCATTCATTAATTCATTCATTCATTAAACAGTAAGTTATTTCATCTGTTCATTCACTCATTCATTCACTTATTCATTCAAATTCATTTCAATACAATTTTGAAGTTGATATTCAAATTCACCCAAATATTACAGTGGTCGTACAATAATTTGGAAAGTTTTAAATATCAGCTGTCCTGATGAGGATTTTATATCCGAAACACGTATTGAAAAAAAATGAGATCAGCTCATGTCGAATATATTGAATTTACTTTTGGTGTGAATGGTGTTTGCGATAGTACGTCAGAAATTGGATGACTTCAACACCCTGTTGAGTCATATAGGTAAAAACTTTTCGCATTGAAAGAATGTCATAACAAGGTCGAATCTTTATGTAAAATAGGAATCTAAAACCACAAACGTCGGAAAGAAATTCAGAATGACGCAATTGTCCCTCCAAGCACAATCAAAAGCTTGAAAACTGTAAATATGGATTGTTGATTTCTATTACAGACCACACTCAATTGAATTTATCTCCCTTTGACCACTGGTAAACTATGTTAATGATCACTAAACATTCTTATTTAAGTGTGTGTGAATGTTAGTTTTGTGAGAAATCCTTTGTATTGAGTTTCATTTAAAACAGTTATGTGAAAGGTACGCAAATGTATTCATTCATTCATTCATTCATTCCCCTTATAATCTATAATTTACCCCATGTCCAATCAAGATATCCTGATGAGGATTTTATATCCAAAGCTTGTATTGACACAATAAGATCAATTCCAGTCTGTTGGATATGGTTATCAAAGCCTATGTATCGAACGTCAGTTTTAAAGGTTTTTCATTCCTTCCCTCCTCCCCTTATAATGGATAGTTTACATGTTTTCAAACCAGATGGCCTAAATGAAGATTATATCGTTTAATTTTATTACATTTCATGACAATTGGTGGTGAGTGGATGTTCAGTTTTAGTTTTGAAATAATTTGAGTGTATTAAACATTATATTATGTACGAAAGGTAAGCCCTTTAAATCAACACCTGAAACATAAAGAAACC